TGGCAATGCCCCAGCCTCCACAAAAGACAGATGGGATAACCAAAATCCAAAGAAGAAAAGTCGTTGTAGAGGTTGATGTTGAGCCCAGCTCTCCAAATCCCATAGCCGTGCCTCAGATACTCTAGATATTGTCAAAGATGGGATCATTTGGATGTGCCCTATCTGGGGACGTGAGAAGGTCAGGCCAGTTAGTAATCCTGATTCTGTCTTGATATATTGTTCATCCTGTATTTTTGCATTAACTTTGATATTTTAAAATACTGTATTAAAATATTATTTACCTTGATTCCTGGGCTGTTGTCTTTGTTTGCCTGCTTTGATCCCACACTCTCAGCAACTGCCTCTTTAGGTCACCCCAGTTCTTGTCTCAACCCCAGGAGTCCCAGCACCCCTGAGTTTCAGGACGCCACCGTGGGATAAACATTGAGGGGTTCCAGGCTGTCCTGTGTGGTTTCAGCAGGGGACGTCGCCAGGCTAACCCTGCAGCTCTCACCAGTGTAGACCCCGGTGTTTGTACTGATCTCCTCAGTTATTGTCTCTAGACTGTAAGATGCCCGTCCATGTCCCAAGGGCCCTGTTCTCAGAAGCCCATCCACAGGAATGAAGGATATGCCTTATCAGGAAATATAATCCATCTAGAACACATCTACAGATCACAAGGATGAGGAGGAGAGGTCATGAGGCCATCTTGTCAATGCCCCAGCCTCCACACGGGACAGGAGGGACAGTGAATATCAAGAGAAGGGATTCAACTTGACACAAACTAGAGACACCTGGGAGGAGAGGGGGACTCTCAGTTGAGGAATGGCCTCCATCAGACTGACCTACAGGCATGTCTGACTGTGGGGTGTTTCCTTGATTATTAACTGATGGAGGAGGGTCTAGCCCAGTGTGGGCAGTGCCACCCTGGGCAGGTGGGTCCGGGTTATATACATACAGGTCGCTGAGCAGACACAGGGAAAAAGCCACTAAGCATCGTTCCTCTGTAGTCTCTGTTTCAGTTCCTGCCTCCAAGTTCCTGCTTGAGTTCCTGCCTTGGCTTCCCTTCCCTTCTCTCAAATCCTCTTCTAGTCAATCCGTAGCTTCTTGTGCCCCTGAAGCCTGCCTAGGAGTTGGGGGAGGGGCTCCTGTTTCAGTGGCGAGTGGGGGCCACATTCCTTTTTTATCAGTTTTCGTTCCTCCCCTCAAGATGTTCCAGCAATGAGACATGGCCTCCTGTATCAGCATTCCCTTCCCTGCCCGGCAGTTCTGCAGTGTCTCCTCTCCACTCCTTTTGGAAATAAGACTTTTCCCCCACCTTTTCCAGGGACAGAAAAGACCAGCGGCTCCCAGGAGTGGGGCTTTGGAATCCCTGCTCTTTGTTGCTTTCACTTAGCAGAGCTTCTTGTCAAAATAGCAAAAGCAACTTAAGGGAGATGTCGTTAGTCTCCTGGCATTGGGGGTGCAGTTCATCACAGCAGGGAGGTCCTGGAAGGAAGTGTGCAATGCCACCGAGACAAAGCTGGTGCCCACAGTCAGGAAACAGACGAATGTTGGTGTTCAACTTGCTTTCTCCTTTTTTACCCAGCCGGAGACCCCAGCCCCTGGGATGGAGACACCCACATTCAGGGTGGACTCTCCTATCTCAGTCAAACCTTTCTGGAAATGTCCTCACAGACATACCCAAAGGCACATCTTCTAGGTAATTCCATATGCCATCGTCGCCATGAAGAATAACCGTTACATTTGCACACCACTTGCCCTGTGCAAATCTAAGATACTGAGGACGGGGCGAGGCCAAGACTATCCCAGGACTGATACTTGAGGAAATAAGTGAGAACGGGCACAGAGGAAAGAAACAGATGGTGGGGCAGAGTCCGGTCTCTGTGGCCAGGCAGGGTACTCCCAAGGCTTCCCCTATGTTGGAACCATTTGGAGTCCTGGCCCCCAGCTGCTCTTCTTTGCAAGAGATCTTTACTTTCCTTCTGATTTGAGTTACTGAAAGCTGTGTCAAAGTTGTTTACCAGCTCTGCTTCACGAGCACGTGTTGCCTTGCCTTGAGGATCAGAAGATAAGGTTTTCACCTGTTGGCCCACTTGACTGTTGGGTATATAAGCCTCTGTGGCGCTACTGAATAAAGGGCTTCTTACCAGTGACTAGAGGTCTCTGTCTGTGTCTTTGTGTGTGTTTCAACCTCCAGCCCCTTGCCCAAAGCTCACGAACAGTATGGTAGCGCATAGAGCGCAGACAGGTGCTGTGCGCTGCACCCCTAGGCACTGACAGCACCATCGGGCCAGGCTATTCCTGACAAACCACGTGTTTTATGGTCACATAAATCAGAACTGGGGCCCAGAACCTCAAGGTCAAGTCAAATCAGACTTTCCAGTCCCCTTCTTCGGCAGAAGCATCCTGAACAGTGTCTGGAGAAAGAGGGCTGGGGTAAGGTAGGGCTGGGGTCTCAGAGTGATCTCCTCACAGTCATTCAGATACAGCTCCTGGGGAAAGGACGAGCTTTTTCTGAGGCCCGCCTTTGTAGCAACTGAGGGCCACAAGCTCCGCTAATGTACGTACACCAAGAGGTCCCCCACCCCAAGTTCAACATCCTCTGTGCCAAGTGGCAGAGAACGGGCAGCTCTCGAGAAGACTAATATTTACTCCTCAAACGGGAGCTGCACGGGCTGTTTCCTGTGGCTGGCGTCTGGTTCGCCCAAGGATGGACACAACAGGAGGTGCTCTGGGAGACAAGCAGATGTCCCCTCAGATACCAGCAATGAGACCAGACAATGCCTGGGAGATGGGAACAGCCTGTGCTGAGGTCCCCTTGCACCCGGCCCCTTGGCTTGCACACCTCCAGCTCCCGGCCTTGGTGAGGCCTGCTGGACGGTCCCGTGAGAAAGTTCACTCTGACTGGCCCCACGTTCCTTGCCTCTGGCCCTTGTGCTGATCCCTGGGGCCTTGGAAAAGCGCCTGGAACGAGCCCCCAGGGCCATGGTGGTCCTGGTCCCCCACCAGCCTGGCTTCACTTCCCCAGGCGCACACTCTGGGCTCAGGCTATTTCTGGGGTAGGAGGGAAGGCTGGCTTTGGGGCACCTCTGTCCCCCTGCAGCTGTCCCTTGTCCTCATGAGAGCCTTTTAGCAGAGGCCTGCTGTGGGAAAGCCTCAGTCAGGAAACTACCTCAGGCGGCCTGGACCCGGGAGGACAGCCTCTGGGGGGTGAGACGAGTGCCCACTGCTTCCCCCTTTGAGAGCTCATCCTTTCTGCCCCCACGTTCCCCATCCCTCATGGCCCCCAGAAACACACCCTTGCTACTTCAGGCCCTAGCCTCTGCTTTGGCTCCCCCCTGGTCCCAGAAGCAGCTATAGACACTCCTTTTATTGTTTTGACACAGGGTCTGATGCTGCCGTGACTGGCCTTGAACCCCCCTATACCAAGGATGACCCTGAACTTCTGACCCTCCTGCCTCTTCTTCCTGGATGCTGGGACTGCAGTCTCCCCTGGCTTATGTGGTGCTGGGGACTGAACCCGGGGCTTCACAAGTTCTCGTCATTCTCTTTACCGACTCAGCTACACCCCAGCCCTACCCTGTCTTGCAAAGTTCATGGCATAAGGTAGTGTCCTTCTGTCGTTTTATTCCATGCCCATGGTCCTAACGGTCATCTCTTCTATTGATTACTCACAATCATTGCAGACTTTGTCATTTTTTAAATTTAGATTGCCATTTCTTGCCAATCCACACAGACTGCTCCTACGCTACCCTTACCACTTCCTGCTCTGCGGCCAAACCCTCCCATTCTTTTCACTGTTCCCGGGATCTCCTATCATCAAACTCGTCAATCTTTTAAAATTTTTTTACTTATCTATTTTTTATATCTGTGAGGGTTTTCTAAGCATGTATGTCTGTGCACCACATGTGTGTCTGGTGCTTGCAGAGGCCAGGAGGCACCAGATCCCCTGGAACTGGAGTTACAGGCAGCTATAAGCTGCCAAGTGAATGCAGGTCCTCTGGAAGAGCAGCCAGTGCCCCGAACTGCTAAGCTGTCTCTCCAGCCCCAAGCCTGCCAATCTGTTTGTTTAGGGGTTGTGCCTATGACTTTAAGTATCTTCCCCTTCAGATCAGAGGGTCTTCTCTTTGGCACTCGGCAAACTCCACAGACTTTGCCTCGTCCATCCATTTGACTGTCCATCTGAGGCCTGGTCCACAGAATCTCTGCCAGGTTCCTCTCCTTAGTCTACCATCCTCTGATGCTGCGTATGCATGCCTGGCCCAGTGCTCTGCAATCAAGCATGCCCGGCCTGGTGCTCTGCAAGCATGCCTGGCCTGATCTTCTACAAGCATGCTTGGCAGCTGTCATCAAGGCCCCTGCATGGGTTAAGACTCAAGGAAAAAGCAGAGACTCATTATCCCAAACTCTCCCCAGTCCTCCTGGGGCAGAAGAAGCATCTTCATGGCCCAAACCGCTATTTATTATCTGTGGGTGCTACCAGAAGGGGATGGCCCTCCCTTCCAGGCCAGGAGACAGATCTCACACATGAGCAAAAGGACTTGTCTACCTTATCCCAACAACTCAAAGGAGTATCTTAGAAAGTGGCTTTGGCCTCTTCCTACGACTGAGGCTCAGGACAGAGGAAACATGCTGAGAACACATGCTCCCAGCTTAGGAGGCTGGTCCAAAGTAGTTGCTTCAAACCCCTTCCTGGGAATTTTGTCAGCTGTTCCAAAGCAGCTAAGGATAGCGTCCCTGGGCTGGGAGGAGGTGGTGTGGACGACTGCTGCGCCCCCTGGTGGCCACTCGCCTTGTCCACAAACGCCCAGAACTCTGAGGCACATAGCAAGGTAGCAGCTATAGAGCCTACAGGCTGCCCAGCCCAGAGCATTTCCACCCCTGCTGCTTTGGTTAGGGACCTACACTAAAGCCTGCGTCCTCAGACCTGTTCAGACCAGATGTCACTTCTCCCACGGACCACCTCAGACCAACAATAGGCCCTGATGCAGAACTGCTCACACACATAGACACACGCGCATTAGTAAACACTTCAGTTTATTCTCTACACACTTCTGAAGCCACCTCATGTCATTTTACATGGTATACAAACAGCTGTACAAGATCAGTATGTCGTCACGGGTTTCAGTTTATGAGTATGTGAAAGTTAAAATGTGCCCATCGGGTACCCAAAATAGATCTTTGTTATCAACTGAGGAGTAGCTTACATTATGGGCAGCAGACCCTGGGGGTGAGTGTGCGGAATAAATGGTTTGGCCTAAATTAGCAAATTCTTTTATGTTCTTAGAAAAACCCACTAAGCCAAATCAAATCCTAGGGGCTGAGTCGTACAAAGTTTTCATTAGGTAACATTTCTGAAGCAATCTAAGAATCATATCAATATAAGGGTTAAAGGTCACACATAACGCAGCAGACATGGGTCAAAGAGAAAGGAAAGAAGAATAGGGTTAATTTAAGGCAATTGTGGGCCACAGCCCTGCCCGTCACATCCCATGGGTGAGCATTTCCCTCGCCCCCATCACCAGCCCCCTCCACGGCTGTCCTGATGTCTCCCCAGCAACACGAGAGTGGGGGTAGAAAGCGGGGGGGGGGGGTCTCCTTGTTGAGACTGGGGATGGACACTGAAGTCTGACCCAATCTACGACTAGATTCCTAGGACCCTAGAGCAGGTCTAGCGATAATGGCTGTCCATGCCCAGGACCAAGAGGCAGGTCCAGGGGAGGAGAGGAGCCAGTCAGACGGTAGGTGAGGTCTGTGGCCTGCTGCACACTCCCAGCGACCTTGCGGCCCTCTCCCCTGTGGCCACCTGCAATCCTCACAGGAGCATACAGGGACTGCGAGCTGGTGTTCCTGTCCTCTTGCGGGGAAGATGCTGAGGACTGCAGGCAGGGACTTCCACTGTGACACAGGACTGAGAAAGGACAAAGCTGACCTCCAGGCCGCTGGGTTGGCTGACCCTACCTCGTCTCTCGAGGGCACACCCGGTTTCTCTTCCACCACCATTCTTGGCTCTCACAGCACACAGGTAGAGACAGCCTGAGGACATCCAGGCACGAGCAGTAGCTCAGCAAGGGTTTGCTGGACACGGCTGACAGCAGTGTGCACTCCTGACCATGCCCCACCTCTCTCACGTGTACACACCTGGACATGCCCCGCCTCTCTCACGTGTACACACCTGGACATGCCCCGCCTCTCTCACGTGTATACACCTGGACATGCCCCGCCTCTCTCACGTGTACACACCTGGACATGCCCCGCCTCTCTCACGTGTACACACCTGGACATGCCCCGCCTCTCTCTCGTGTGTACATGCCTGGACATGCCCCGCCTCTTTCCCATGTCATTCATTGTCAAGCCTAGAGAAGAGACTGGAAGGTGGCTGTGTTGGTGTCACAGTGGGCAGACATTTCCTTCGAGGAGCAACCCAGGTGTGAACGCAAATTCCGCCCTGATGCCGTTTCCTAGGCTCCAGTCACCTCCCTGGGTCTGCCGGCTACTGCGCTAGCCCCCAGCAGAGATGACAGGAGATGCCCATCAAAGTGCTCCTTCTCCTGAGGGCTGAGCCGAGGTGGGGCAGAGGGTCAGGCTTCCAAGTCGGTTCCCTCTCCATCATGGTGCCTGTCTCTCTAGACTCTAGCCTACATCTCTCTCTGGAGACAGGGATGTAGGAGGCAGAGTGGAAACAGGCAGGAGAGAGGGGAAACATGGTGGCTAGGGAAGAAAGGGGCTCGAAGAAAAAGCCCACAATGCATGTCAACAGGGTTGATGGTCAGCAAGAACCACAGCCATGGGGTCAGTGAGGTGTCCGGGACTGAGATGATCCAGCTCTTCCCACCCAGAAAAAGGGAAGTCAGGTACAGTTCCCGCCAAGATAAGGCTCACTGAGGGGCAAGTCACCAGAATCATATGCTTTCTGCCCAAGTGCTGGGCCACTCCCCCCCAGTACCAGCAGACAACAGCACCTGCAGAAGTCCGTCCACAGTCTGTGAGCATCTGGACAGAAAAGCACCTGGAGGCCATCTCAACACCGTGTTATGTGAGCCAGCTGGGCAGCAGTACCTAGCTGCTCATCTAAAAACGCCAGAGGAGCGCTCCTGCCTTGGAACCAGGTTCCGGGCATCAAAGATCCCACGGGGGATACCAACATCCCAGGTCTGAACCAAGTTACCCCAAAACCCAGGGTTTCCTGGAAACTTATTTCCCGTCACCACCCTCTTCCAGGGAGGTGAGCCTGCTTGGCTGTATTCCAGATAAAGGTTTCTCCGTTTTCTGTTTCCCTTCCATTTATGACAGTGTGGAACCCTGTCAACCAAGTGTGGACAACACCCTCGCTAGCATCTAATGGTTATGAAGTGTCTCTGGCAAGGGCTCACCCACAAGTCACTGCTCGTAGACTGACGACCACAGGCTCAACCCCTAGAGTGTGGGTGGTCTCCAGACAGGGGCAACACAATACCACAGAGGCTTACAAGGAAAACTGTATTTTTAGGCTGATTTTTTTTTAACTTACTTAAAAAATGTTTTGAGTGTATGTTCTGAATTAAAAGAATTTTCTCTTCCCTCTGGCTTCCTCTATGGCCACTTCAAAATTCTCTCAGGAAGAATGAGCATTTGCCTATGCAGTATATACAGATTACACAGTGTGAGATCAACAAAGACACAAGGTTCACGTTCACATCCAAGGATGTTGCCAATATGACATTCATACCCAGACATTGTAGATTTGATTAAAAATAGAAAATTCTCCTCTAAGGAAACAAAGTCAGACGGCGATGCTTTCCCAACCCAGTTCTGGGTCATAGACACCTGGTGGCTCGCCAACATGCAGTACCAGCGGCAGTCAAGCAAGAGAACTCTTTACCCCACACATCTGTCTTCCTCGCTACTCAGTAACTTTGGGGATGGCTTTCTCCTTCACAAACGATCAAAATAGGACTGATCACTTACGGAGCCAAATGGCTCAATCCACACAGTTGTGGGGGCACTACGCCAAGAATGAGCCAGAGGGGTGAACCCCAACATGGCTTCTTGAGTGCCACCAGATACCCACACTGGAGATGCAGGGGGCTCTTATTCAGAAGCACACCTTAGCAGCTTTGCACCACGGGTGTCAGTCACACGAAAGCTTTGCAACGCTAACACCCACTCAATGCCTGCCCATAAAACAACAGGGCCCTCTGTCTAACCGAGATGCTCAGGCATGGCCTCTCCAGGAGGCACGCAGGACCACGCCTCCAGCAATGCTACCTTGACAGGCACTGGGCTGCCACCCAAAGATGACCGAAGCCTCTCCCCAATTCTGCCAAGCACCGCTGAACCCCAGCATTTCCATTCCTCTCTGCCCCATGGAAAGGACCCTGGGGCTCTCACATCTGCTCATGTCCATGTGCTTATGACCCAGTAATATTGGTTATTAATTTAATAATCTTCAGATAGACCCTGCAAAGTGATACAGACAACATCCGTATCCACAGAGTCCCACCACCATAAACGGTCTCTGTAAATTAAATAAACTCGGATTTACTTAGCATTTCTTTAGCCTAAGTTTGCCTTCATTCTAAATGAGCTTTAATTTATATCCAAAATATATTTAAATATTCCAAAAGTATATCGAACCCAAGTTATCAAAAATGTAAACAAAATTCATCTAGCTTACATTTATGAGCCGTATTTTCAAGCTTTTAATTTACCCTGACACTCTAGGGAAAACTGACCGAGGTTACACTGGAACTGCAAACTGGTTTCAACTTTAAAGAGTCTCCTTGCAGACCATTTCCTGGAAGGCCAACGACCAAAGCTACCATCATGGAATCTAGCGGTGTGCAGCATGGTTTTAGGTAGGAGACCAACACATGGTCACTCTGACCATCAGAGATGCTCTCCCGGCAAGCTCTGGCTTCGGCTGCCTGTCCTGTGCCCGGCTGGCCGTTATCCACAAACGCTCCACACAAACCGAGATGCAACCGGCCGCCCTGGGTCCTCCATGACACCTGCCAGAACCTGTGATCTCGGGAGCTTCATGGATGGAGATCTGAGGTGAAGTTGAGAAGCAGGAGCAGAAACAGACTGGCCTTCTGGGGACGGGGAGGGGAAGTCAAAGGCCCCATTCACTGCAAGATGCTGTCCTCACACTCCATAGTCAGACTGCCTCTCCTGCAGCTGTCTGGTTAGGGTCTGATACGAAGACAGAAGAGCCACTCCTATGTGGAAGAGGATTTGCCAGGTGTTCCTCAGCCCGTGCAGGTACACATTGCCCAGACAGATGAAGGCCAGCATCAGCACCACCTTCAGAGTCCTGGCTGAACTATAGAACAGGTACAGGTAACACTGAAATGAGACCACAATACAACCAGTCAGAGAGAAGCAGACAGCCTCAAGTCAGATGCAGCCACAAACAGCTGCATGCGTGCACCTGTTCACTGATGCCTGCATGCATGAGCCTGTTCACTGATGCATCCATGCACGTGCCTATCCGCTGATGCATGCATGCATGAGCCTATTCTCTGAATTCACTACAGCAAAGCTGGGACCCGTGGTCCACCGAGTGAACAGGAGGAGATTCAAAAAGAAGAAAACAGGTGTCACAGGAGGAAGGACACTAGCGACACACAGGCACATGCCCAGCCTGGGGATGCAGGAAGACAGAGACGCAGCACAGGGGACAGACCAGACCATAAGACCCTCCCATGACTACGTGGCCTCCCTGTGAAGTCCCCCTCAGGGACCTGATGGTTGGATAAGATATGAGGGAAAGCCATGCGTTCACACTGTGGTTTCACCCCGGGTGTCACCGTTCCCCCAGTCACGGACTGCACCCACCTGGACGATGCAGGCCACAGAAGGGACGAAGAAGGCCAGGATGTTTCCAACTTCCTCCTGGGCGATCTGAAACAGATCCGGGGCACACAGAAGAAAGGTTTGGCTGAAAGGAACTACCATGGCACGAAGCTCATTATTCCCATTTCCCAGGTGTGACTGACAGTTCAAAGATGCCTCGTCAGACTCAGGCGAGGCACGTGACCTTTTTCAATGTCAGACAGACCACACACTCCTGTCTTGGGCCGTCATACTACATCCTCAACATGCAACGAGCTCCCGCCCCCTCAGCCCTCCCAACCCTTCCCATCTGCTAGTGCTGAGCTTCTAGGACCTCCTGCCCCAGGCACTGTCAGCTCCTCGATGCTGTCCCTGCATGATGCCAAGAGACCCTCAAGGCAACCAACCAGGCACCAATTCTACTGCACACAGCTGCCAGGTGCCTGGTCCACACCACACACTGGTCAGGTAACTAACTGGCCTGAGGGTTTTCACAGCTACAGCTCTAACACAGGCCCAGTGCTGCTCTTCAAAGGGCCCAGCCCACATCAGCCTTCTGGACTCAACACCCACGAACCACCATCCCTTGCTCTACAGTCAACACCTCTCACTGCCATGAGTACTATGGCTTTATCTTTTGTTTTGTTTTTTTAATTGAAAATTCATACGATATATTCTGATCCCGGTTTCCTCTCCCTAACCCCTCTCAGGACCTCTCCACCCCCCTCCATCCAACCAAATCCATGCTTTCTTTCTCTCTTTAAAAAAAAAAGGCAAAAATAATAGTAATAATAATAAAATAAAAAATAAAAAGAAAATAAAACGAAAAAATATAGTAAACACACACACCTCCAAATCCATAAAAACACAAAATCAGAAACTGTAACATACAATCAAAAGACCAGTAAGATTAAAAAAATGTCCAAACAAAAAAATATGAGACAAAAATCTATAAAAACACTACGGCTCTATCTTTAAAAATAGCAGACACCTGCTTATGTTAATAATAGTTCTATTCCTTTGACAAGCGTTCGAAAACCTTCCAAAAATATTTTTTTCCTTTTGTTGGCCAGCAGCAGTGGTCAACAAAGGGAATGCTCACTTAGTCCCAGGGATGTGGGGCTCTGACAGAGAAGAGAAGAGGCTCCTGTGGGCCACACACCACAGGGTAGGGACATCTCTTCCTAGAGCCTGTCAGTGCGAGACTACCCTGCATCCTGCTGAGGCAGTCAGAAAGTCCTGGGTTCGATCCCCAAGGCCACCTGTAAGGAGTGTTCTGCGAGGTGAACTCCGCGGATGAGGTTCAGGGCAGCGCACATGATGTTGAGCACGAGGGAGAGAACGCCCAGCGCCGTCACCGGCTCCATCCGGAGATTCAGGGCTTCACAATGGAAAGAGAGGAGTGTTCGGTGAGGGGACAGGATACCAACCAGCCAACTAGACCTCTGCTAACAGACCCACGATGCTAAGCACAGAACCACAAGCACGCATCTAAAAACCAACAGAAGTTAGCGGGGCAAGTCAGAAATGAATGCCAGAATGGATCTCAGAAATAGAGGTGAACTTCTTCCAGGAAAAAAAAAAAGCTCTTTTTCATGTCAGACGCAAATCTGTAAGCACTCAGTTGCCTTTTTATTTTAAGCAGGAGTGGCTTGCCCCCAGAGGGGTATCCAGAGACACCTGTAATTGTCACCAGGACAGGCAAATGCCAGTGGCACTGCTAAGCATCCTGCAGGACATGGGATACCTCAACACAGAGTCACCCAAAGGGCACGCCCACAGGCCAGGCTGAGATGCTGGGGCAGGGGTGTCCAGACTCGAGAAGCATTTCCTCCACCACCTTCTCCAGTTTGTAAACTGTTCCACTCTATTCCCGTGTCAGGTGGGCATCCAGACAAATCCACAGCAGACGTCTCAGTAACTCTAAGATACCCAGGAAGAGGAGGTGTTCCCTATAGAACTGTAGCCAGGATGATAACGGGAACACGGACTTGCTCTCTCTCGATGCTCCTCATTCAAACGGATTCTGGTTCACAGCTGCTGCCCAGTCCCTTCTCCTGCCATGCTCCTTCCTAAGTATCCTTTCTGGTCCTGACAGTTCCCCCGCAATTAATGCACAACACATGTCCTGGAAGCCACAGTCCAGCTAAGACCAGTGTTAGTGTGTTAGTTCCCACCAGAACAGAAATGCTACCTGTGAGGACTCTAGCCTTGGGACAATTAGGTGAGGCAGGAAAAGGTCCTGACAGGTGGGTAACTTGGCGCTTTGGGGATTTGCTCCTCTTTTCTAAGTGCTTAAAAAAAACAAAACATACATTACAAAGGGGTCGCTGTGGTCACTCATGGCAAGGGGAGAGCTTGGGCTTGATTACCTGGCCTCCTTCTTCAAGTTCTCCCAACACTAAACAGGAGCAGCCTGCTGATTGGCAGGCGAGTCAACCTGGGAATCTATTGGCTTAAACACACTCAGCCCAAACCAAATATACTTAATATGCCACTTAAACTTCAAGCCAAGAGCTCAGTATGGAAATTTTTAAAATTAGATTGTTACAATGCAGACAGCTCTTCCAGGGGACACACCATGGCATGTGTGCAGAGGTCAGAGGACAAAGATCAGGGGACAAAGAAGGGAGTCTCCTCCTACCATGTGGTCTTCAGACATCACACTCAGGTGCCTGGGGTGGAGGCAAGCCTTTACCCCAGAGCCACCCACTGGTCCCCACTGAAGAATTTTTAGATGGCACATAGATACTGTCCCTACACCCCTTCTCCAACAAGAGAGTTGTGGTTTCCCAACACAGGCTTCCAGTGCCTTAGTAATGTGGTCAACCAGAGTCCCACGAGGTGCTTCCAGCACAGTAATTCTCACAGCATGAAAACCTGTGAACGTCACCGTGATGCACAGCCTGCCAAGATGGCCTGGACCCTCCAGAATGTCATCACACTGCTTCCTTGACACAGGCCACTCTCACACAGTTTATAACAACTATGTGGGAAAAGGGTTTGTCTATATCCAAGTATATCCCAAGATATTGAACATGCTACCACCAAGCCAGACCATTTTCGAGTGGGGGGAATTCTACCTGACATGCATCCTTTCGCACCAGAGAACAGCAGGCACTTACCAGACTCAGCGTGCACTGGGGTGTGGCCGTTCAGCACGCCATTGGCCACGTCTGGGCCCTCCAGAGACAGAAGTGCTGGAGGCTGGAGCTCAAGCTCCTCCTGAATCTTTTCGAAGCTGCTCTTCATCTGGGAGGAGCTCATGTGGTTAAAATGCCACTTTGTTTTCTGAATGACACTGTCTGCGGAGAGAGAGAGAAGCCCAAGGTGAGCATCATCAGGATGGGAGCTCTAAGACAGCATGCGGGGAGCGAAGCAACTGGCAAGTCAGCCAGATTCCAAACTGAGTCGGTTATGGGAGGTCAGGTGACTGCTGCGCATTAACACTAATCTGATCCATTTCTTCAAAGCATATAATTAAGTGTGGCTGCAGAAATCACCAACCTCAGCTACCCGAGGGGCGCAGGAGGCACTGGACTGAACTGGGAGTTGGGGATGGGAATCCCTGACAGTCTCATGTCAAGAGCTTTCTGAAGATAAACATGGCTCTACAGTACAAGCTGGGAGGCCATGTTGGGAGGTGTGCAGGTTGTGTTGGCCTACTCGGCACAAGCTGGAGCGATCTGGGAAGAGGAACTTTCCAGATGAGAAACCGCCTGCATGAGATTGGCCTATAATGGCAAACCTGTGATGGGGGAGGGCAGGAGCCCACTGCGGGCAATGTGACCCCAGTGGCAAACCTGTGATGGGGGAGGGCAGGAGCCCGCTGCGGGCAGTGCAACCCCTGGGAAGGCGGGCCTGGGCTGTACAAAAATGCAAACTCGACATGTTGGCCATGGGTGGGGCTCAAGCCTGTAAGCAGCATCTCTCCATGGCCTCTGCTTCAGTTCCTACTCCAGGTCCCCTCCTTGAGTTCCTGCCCTGACTTTCCTTCATAAGATATGTATATAAGACATATATGTGTGTGTATGTATGTGCGTAATACACATGCATATATATCATGAAGTATATATGTATATATGTACATATATATGTATACACATATACACACCCTGTAAGCCAAACAACCCTTTTCTTCTCAAGGTGCTTTGGGTTGGTCATAGTGTTTATCACAGCAATAGAAAACAAACTAGGAAAGAAATACTGGTTTTGAATCTTTCAGTCATATTACTATTAACCCATTTCAACAAATGACATGGCTTTATCTGTTTTGTTTTGTTTTTTTAAGCCAAGGGGTTCATACAGTCCAGGCTGGCCTCAGATTTGCTAGATAGCCAAGGATGGCCTTAAACTCCTGATGGGACCAACTGCTAGGATTACAGGTATGTGCCACTATGCCTGGCTGCAATCACACACAGGCATGATTCCAGCACCACTATTCTCTGACTCATGCTCCCACACACTAAGGAGTCACGACAGTGCTGTGATGTGGGAACTCCTTTTGTATATGTGTTGTTTTTATCGGTTAATGAAAAGAAGCAGCTGCTTGGGCCTACGGTGGGGCAGAACAGACCTCGGTAGTAAAACTAAACTGAATGCTGGAAGAAAGTAGGCAGTCAGAGAGATGCCAGAACCCGGTAAGCCACAGCCTTGTGGTAATACACAGAATAATAGAAATGAGTAATTTAAGATGTAAGAGTTAGTTAGTAAGGAGTCTGAGCTAATAGGCCAAACTGTTTTAATTAATACAGTTTCTGTGTGATTATTTCAGGTCTGGATGGCCGGGAACAAACAAGCAGCCTCTGACTACAGCACTAGAGAAGGTCTCCGGTCAGACTCAGCTCGCTGCTTTGCAGGAAGGCAACTACAGAGACAAGGGGGAAAGAATGCAGCTCCACTCCTCTCTAAATTAACTGAAATCTGCCTGGTGTGACTACCAGGCTGTGTTCTGTAGACTTGGGAACCACATAGGCCCTTCTGGCTGAGCCTGGAACAAACATGTCTTCTGCCAAAGCAGGCCTTGTCAACCTGCTGAAGGAAGGACCAAATTGTCTCATTTCCAAACTGTCACAGCTGAATGTTTTGACAAAATGCAGGAAAAAAAAATATTGCAGGAACGTGACATCAAGTGGAGGAGTTAGAAACATTTCCTCCACTTCCGGACTCACCTTGGAGGAAAATCCCCCAGGTAGCTCGGCCCAGAACTGGTGTCAACACAAGTGTCTCCAAGTCTAAGACAGTAAACACTTGAGGCTGCTGGGCACATCCTGTCTCAGGAAAAGCATCCGTAAACAGATATCTACGGATATCTACTATCCATAGATAACAGCTCTGATTCATATAGCATAGCTCTGAACTCTATAGACTATGGAGAACGTTCCTCCATCTCCCCACAGGCTCTGAAGACACAGAAAGATACCATGGTAAGCTTCAAGACCACTTTAATTCCTATGAAATCAGAGCATATGGTAGAACCTCCTGTGGTTTTCCCGGGGCCAAACCTAGACTTCAGTTTCTATAAACATAACATCATATGAGAAAGAAAAGAACAAAGACAGTTACAAACCGAACTCAAGAAAAGCGTAGGGCCGGGAGGCCAGGCCAATGCATGTGGCGTCATAGGAAGCTATGAAGTCCCACCACAGAGTCTCCAGGAAGCAGAAGGCCATGGCTGCCGGGCACTGGCGTGAGCAGATGGCCATGCAGGCCACGTCCCCTGATGATGAGAAACTGAAAGAGAAGGTGACAGCTGAGCTGCTAGGAGACAGAATAAACCCCCACCTCATCTTGGGTTAATGTTTACTTTGCTCTTCTTTAAAGATAAGATCTCTCCATCACTCAGGCTGGCTTCAAATTATGTAGCCGAGGCTGGGTCAAATTATGTAGCCAAGGTTAGCCTTTAACTGATGAGCCTCCCGCCTCAGCCTCCTGAATACTAGGATTACAGGTACAGACTCGGTACACACATATACATTCAGGCAAAACAGTCATATGCATAAAATTAAACAAACAAATCTAAATTTTAGAAAAATTTAAGAAAAGACTAAGGCTGACAAGATGGGTCAGCAAATAATGGTGCACACTGCTGAGACTGATGACCGAGAAAAATCCCCAGAATCCACATTTAAAAGCTGGATATGGAGGCATGCATCTGTAACCCGAGCACTCCCAGGACAAAATGGGAACTGGTGACAGAATTGCTTAGAACTTGCAGGCCAGCTAGCCTAGAACAAGGGAGGCCTGACCTTAACAAGGTGGGGGATGGACCTCCCTGTGCATGTATGACACAGTGAGAGATGGACCTATGAATGCTATGGCATCTGAATAACCACCTTTCTGTGTACACATATGTGTGCACACATGCATATATACAACATAATAAGTCAAATTTAAAAAAGAAATGATTGCCAGGCGGTGGAGGTGCACACATGCAATCCCAGCACTCGGGAGGCAGAGGCTGGCAATCTCTAGTTTGAAGCCAGTCTGGTCTACAGAGTAAGTTCTAGGACAGCCAGGGATCCACAGAGATAAACAGTCTTGAGAGATTAAAAAAAGAAGAAGAAAGAAGAAAAACGTCTAAGCTGCCTCCATGACAATGAGGGTGGATATTTAATGCAAACTATGAAGAAGCAGGTGAGTTGGGGTGACTGACCTAATGTGCACAGGTGTCGCGGTCAACCCCGGCACCATAAAAACAAGCAAAACGAGAAAAATCAAGAGCAGAACATTTTATAGTCCTGTTTTTTAGGAGTTGCCAAGGCAGCCTGGATTTAATTATGAGGTCGTGGACTTCTTCAGGAAAGGGGAGTCCTGTCTGATGCACAGCTTCCTGAGCCATGCAGACGGAGCAGGAAAGAGGCAGTGCAAGGGGGGGGGGGGGGGGGGGGGGGGGGGGGGGGGGGGGGGGGGGGGGGGGGGGGGGGGGCAGCGGAGGCAGCAGCTCCAGGAGCTGCCTCAAGGGGGCAGCTCAGGCCTCCAGCCACCATCCTCTCTGCCTGATACTACCTTTCCGCCTGCCCTCAGGTCAGGTTGGCACTTGCCTTCTGCTTTTATGATTCTGAGGCCAAACAGACCTAAAAGGATGCCAATGTCTCTGGCCAGTTTTAAGTATTATGAAAGGGGAAGAAAGGGGACTTGGCAAGCAAAGACCTAGCTGGTAAAACCGCAGGCAGATGTACAGTCTGTAACAAGCCACTTGACTATTTCCAAGCCTGCCTTGTTCCTCAACACAAGAAAGGACCGAACACACGAGCGACAAACCTGGGGCCCAACTGGCTGCTTTCAAATCCTGGCTCCACCGCTCACTAGCTGAAGCTTCCTTAAGTGGCTTGACCTCAATTCCTCCTTGGCAAAGCATGTGACCTGTCTGGCCTGCCTGACCCTGCCAAGTGTCTCATAAGCCCCTGAAACCGCAGGAATGTCGTGAGGATATAAAGCATCCACAGCCTCTGCCGTCGTCATCGTAACTGGTACCCACTGTGGGCTTTCCCGATTGTACTAACTCCGTATCTGTTTCTCTTCTTCCCTCATGAGACTTTAAGTTCTTTGAAAGGAGAGGCCCACACTCACTCACTTTCATTCCCCTGTTCCCGTCATGGAACAGCCACAGGAAAATCCGTGCTGAGATGAGGCTTGGTTGGCAGAGTCCTTGCACACCCCAACGGGGTCAAAGATGGTCAACGCCATCCTCTGCTGCCCTCTAAGGACAGGGCTTGGGGAACTCTTATGTCTGGGCTTCTCCTCTTTTCCCTCCCCGGCATTTTAATGTAGCTTCTAGTCTTCTTCCTTCTGTTGTAGCTAAGTAAAAAATAGGATGACTAAAGGGGTGCCCCCTGGGGAGGAGCTGGGTCTCCCCACATCCAAGGATGCTCTATGGACAGCAAATGATCAACAGCACTGAATGGCGGTGCTGAGGATGGACACCCACTCCTTCCCTGACTCTGTTGCAAGCATACACCACCTGACTGCTGAGACCATACCTTTAACCTTTAACCTTCAACCCACACTGCTTTGTTACCTCAGCCTGTGGGTAAAATGACCCCAATTTTGCTGACGTCCTGGAGAAGCGAATGTGTTCACTTACTAGATATGGAAGTCACGGCTTTCTGCAGAACCTCGGCCAGGATACTGAGCCAGCCTCTGGGCTAAGGCCTTGAGCTGCCTCCTGCATTCCAGAAACTCCTGGGCGTAGTAGAAGTCAGTGGAGGCTGAGAGGGGCAGCCCATCCCTCACCCGTACTATGCTGGCAAAAACAATCATGGGCATGGTCCGCCAGAGAAGTCATGAGGACACCTGAGGGAAGAAAGGTCGCCTGTCAGTGAGGCAGGAGAGGGCGCCAGGGACCCCAACACTGGAATGGCAAATTATTTCCCCTGTACCACTCCGGGTTCTCCCCACTTCGCTTTCTTCCCTCCTCCTCCTCTTTATTGAAGCCTCCCCTTCCCAGTACTAAGCCTACTGGGATGAAGCACACTAGGATGGAGGAAGAGGAGGGGCCAGCAGGACTCAGGCTGCAGAGTTCAAGGTCCTAAAGGGACAGGAAGTGCCTGTCCCAAGCGGCACTTGTCAGGCCACCCAGGGAAGGAGGTCCTAAGCAGTTCAACTGCCACACAAGAAATGGGGGGACGTGGGGGCGTCTGGACATGGCAGCAGCAGTGCCAGGGAGGGGCAGAAGCAGCTGGGAGCTGAGAGCACAGCCTCCGGAATTTCTGCTGTATGACACAGAGTGAACTGCATCATGGGAAGATATTAAATATTTGGTCATGCTCTGTGAACACATTAAGAAACAAAAGGAAAGAGATCTGGGCCTTGGTGCCTTTGGCAAATGAGGAAAAGGTACCTCTGAGGCTGGAAGGAAACCGCAGTTAGCACAGCCACACGGCCCAGCAGGGGTTGGACATCTGCATGGGACCCGGTCAGCACACCTGTGTATGATTCAGCCCTGAAACCAGGACTGACTGATGAGGTGGCCAAAACAGCTTCCGCTGGTCTTTCTGTGCTACATGTCCCTCTGTGTCCCCTGCCTGTCGGGCCCTCCGTGTAGCGGGCATTAGGGGGTAGGCCAGCAGTACTTCTCCAGGGAGACACCTGACTTCAACAGCACTATGGCTTCTCAGGGCCAGGTAATCTCTCTCTCTCTCTCCCCCACATAGATAGAGAGACAGACAGACAGACCGACAGACCAAGGGAGATCTCAACCCCATTATATCCCCAAACCTTCCAGGCTTGCCAGGCTGGACAGATTTTTCTCATCTCCCTGGTTTAGCATGTCCCCTAGGGTAGGTTGTTAAAAACAAAAGCTGTGCCTCAAATTTCCTGCAACCACCAGGGGGCACTGTAGGCTTTGTGAAGAGCGCTGGGTGAGCATGGAGGTCAACACTGCGTGCAGGAGGTCAACAGAACTACCTAACACGCTTTTGCTTTTGCAAGACCGACTTCTAAAAACATTCTGGCGAAGTCCTAGCTGAGACGGAGAAAGAACAAAAGATCAGTTTGAGAGCAGAACAGGCCTGGGGTTCAAAACACTAAGTCCAAACAAGGGCCTCGTGTGGTCTGTATGGCCTTATCTGACGTGAAGAAAAGAATAAAATGAAAAAGGACAATAAATAAAAAATATGCCAGAAGAGTTAAGACAAGCCCCAAGCACCCCAAGGTAAAACATCTACCAGCTGGGCAGTGGTGGCACACACCTTTAATCCCAGTACTCGGGAGGCAGAGGCAGGCCGATCTCAGTGAGTTCCAGGGCAGACAGAGCTATAGAGAAACTGTCTTGAAAAATGAGAAAAATACAAAAAAACAAAAACTACAATATGTGAGTCGCCTGTTAAGGCTGCAAGGAGGAAACAGGTGTCATTTCCAGGGGACAGTAATCCTGAGAACCAGTTTGGCCGCTCCCAGAAAGACCCAGAAGACCTCACTGTCACTGGAAGACTTTTACTGACCAAACCTGCTTCTCCTCCATAAAGTAAATAAAAGTTCTAACTGACTTCAGCTCTGTCCAGTTCTGTGAGAGCTGCCAGGAACTGAACCTTTAAATCCTTCAAAATATCTGGTGCTTGAACAGAGGTGGCGTTAGGAATATGTCACCTTTGTCTGTGTGCTTGCAGTGACAGACGCCTGCGGGGAGGGGCTGAAGGAGAATTTAAAAAATGGAGACGGCGCTTTCAACACTGCTTTCCTTTAGTAACGTGCACCTTGAGGTGGGAAGCCGTAGCTCAGCGGTAGAACATTCATCTAGTAAGCATAAAGCCCCTGGCTACACGGCAAACAACTAAATGCTTCAAAAGATGGAGAGAGTCCTGTAATACAGGGAGGGCTGACCTCTGCGGCCATTCACACTTGTGAACTTGGGGCCATGAGCTATCACGAGGCAGTCTATACCTGAATAAGAGGGCATGCCGGGAATTGTCCCTGCACTCCGGGGGCTGAAGGAGGAGCCTGAGTTCAAATCCCGCTTGGGCTACAAAGTGAGACCCTGCCTCCTAAACTCAGAATAGAAAAGATGAGATCAAGGGGAGATGTGGCTGGACTGCTCCTGGAAGTGCAGGGTAGGGCTTTCCCAGGCCCTACTAAGTGCAAATAAAACCCCGGGCCTCAGCTGTAGGACAGTCATAAAGAGGTTAAAAAGGAGGCAAGGAAGCCAAGGGCAGGGTCATGGGACCCTCATCTCAGACCTGGTGGCGGAAGAACCAGCAACTCAGAGCAGCCCCTGAGGAGAGAGCACAGGTAACACGATCCCATCACCACTACAACAAAACCTGCTTCCTTAACTTAATCAGAACCAGGAAAGCCAGGAGAGCCTTGCACTAAAAGCTAGTCTGGAGGCCGGAGAGATGTCTTGTGGTTAGAGCACTGGCTGCTCCAACAGAGGACCCAGGTTCAATCCCAGAGCCACAGCAAAGTTTCTACACTTAACTTGAAATAATAAAAGACTTTTATCAGGCGACTGTGGCAATTTCTCTCTCTCCTCTCTCTCTAAATACACAGACACGCACACACACATTGGTAAATGCCTGTTCATAGCTCAACTAGAGGGGAAAAGCCATAAGGATAAACACAGAAATAGTATAGGTTAAAAAATCATACGGGCATGGTAGCTTACACTTTTAATTTCATCACTCAGGGGCAAGGGTATCTCTGTGAGTTCAAGGCCATCCTGGTACAAAGCAAGTTTCAAGATATTCATTGATGTACAATTGAACACTACCTTAAAAAAATTTAAATTAAGGCAGAGGCAGGCGGATCTCTGTGAGTTCAAGGCCAACCTGGTCTACAAGAGTGAGTTCCAGGACAGGATCCAAAGCTACAGAGATACTCTGTCTCGAAAAAAACCAGGAAGTCCAGGCAGAAGGAAGAACAGAATAGGAACCAATGTAATTAAGTTAAAAAAAGAAATGACAAATTACTACAATGCCACGCCTAGAACTTAACCCAGAGAAGGAGAACTACACAGCACTGGGTAAAGCTTTGTTTGCCCTGACCGAGAACTAGAACTGAAGACGGCCTGCAGATGGTAACGGCTAAACACACCACAGAGCACTCACTCCACAACACAGTTAGATAAAAAAAAAAAAAAAAGGGAGTAACAAACTGGGTGTGGTGGCGCACGCCTTTAATCCCAACACTCAGGAGGTAGAGGCGGGTGGATCTGAGTTCCAGGACAGCCAGGGCTACACAGAGAAACCTGTTGGCAACTGTCAAGCATCAGGTTCTCTCTGCTCTACCCACAGACTCTGCCTACACCAAAAGCCATCTTCACTGACACTTCCTCTCTGGGTTACTCTTTACTGTCCCCCAAATCCCCCTAACAGGCTGGCACAGGGGGTGCAAAATACAAACTTCAACTGGCAAAACAAGCCAAGTTTAGCACACAAACACTTAGTCAAGCCTAAGCACCCACCATAGGCACACTTCTGAGGGAGGAATGCTAAGGGAACTGTGAACCCGTGATGGATTCACGCTCAGCCACAGGATCTGAGACCTGATTACTTAACATGGGATCCTCTAGGCTCCACGTTGCTTGGGGATAGGGTAAGAGGGACAAAGAGGTCAACTAAGTCATCTTTAAGGGAACTGAAAATATGTTTGTTTTGGGTTTTGGAGACAGGGTTTCTCTGTGTAACCCTAGCTGTTGTGGAACTCGCTCTGTAGACCAGGCTGGCCTCGAACTCACAGAGATCCGCCTGCCTCTGCCTCCAGAATGCTGGGATTAAAGGTGTACACCACCACCACTCGGCTTGATCTGAATTTCTTTACGGGACCTCAAGATGTCCTCTCTGTTGCCCGTAAAACATTAAGTAGCATTTACATTAAGTGGTACAACCGTCTTCCTGAGGAAGCTGCGGTGCCTGCTTATCAGAGTCAGACCACTGAAAGCCGTCTCCACCTTCATTTCCCTAAAGTGGTCGTCACCTGGAGGAACTTTCTGCAGACTTTTACAGACAGGCATTCGCCCTGCCCATTGGGTCTGTTCTGCATGCTGCTTTTGTTTTCCTGATCTTATCACCAATTACACAAACCGAGTTGGGCATGGGAGTCACACACCTGTGACCCCAGAACTTGGGAGCTGGAGACAGAAGGGATCTCAAGCTCAAGGCCAAACTCGGGTTAGGGGGAACCCTGTCTCACAAAGCCACAAACTGGACCAACTCCTTTCATCAGTGGCAACACTCTTCCTTCCGCGGCTTTGGCTTTGTGCAAGCTTGACGCCCGCCCTGCTCTGTAGGTTCTTTGTCCTGGGGATAGCGTCCAAGTCCAGGAAAGTTAGTGCAGGGGTGACCAGGCCTCGAAGAAACCAAGTCCTGCAAGACCAGCCCGCTAAGGAAACTTTGCTATCAAAAGCCAGAGCCAGGGCCAGAGCTCAGCTTACCGAAGAACCGCCGCCCCGCCCCTCCCGAGACACGCCCCGGCCCTGCCCCGGGCAGCAGGCACAGCGGGCTGCGCATCCCAGCAGGTACGCGCGGTGCAGGGGCCCGGCCTCAGCGGCTCCCACGGCCCCGAGCTGCAGCCTGGAGGCCTGAGCCCCGACCCCGCCTCTCCACGCCCTCTGGTCCCGCCAGCCTCACCTCGCCCCGCGGCCGACCTCCGCCTCGGCCACCGCAGCCCACCCGGCCGGGTGCAGGTCACCGGCGGCCGGGCTGCAGGAGGTAGGATGCGGTACGCGTGCGCACGACTTGAATTCTCATTCGCTGCTGCTAAGCGACGGTCACACCCAAACAGACCAATCGTGGCGCGTCTCCTCAGTCCGGTTTTTGAGACTTCGGAATTGCGTGAATCTTAAAGGGCTGGCAACCCGCTTGCTCCCCCACGGCCCGCGCGCGTCTCGCCTGCTGGGCCGGAGGCCCACGCGCGAGTCTCACCTCGAGCCGTGTGAAGAGACTCCGATGTCCCCTCGATTCCTGGCCCGGAGCGGACAGGACTGTTCTCCAGAGACGTCCAGGCCCCGCCGACTGGAGTGACACTCCCTGGGCGTGGGTTCTTGCAGGCCGCGCGGCTGGGCAAGAGGCCCGAGATAGGGGATCCGAAGAGCACGGCCTCCTGCCAGCCTGGAGGAGGTGCCAAAGTCCGATCCCCGAGCGACACACCCTCGCTGTGAGGCTGGAGGCCCCACCTGTTTTGACACGTGCTGAGCACCGCCGTGTATGCCAGTCAGGGTGAACACAGCAAGGCATTCCTGGTTCCTGAGAGGAGGGGAGGGGAGGGGAAGGGAGGGGAAGGGAGGGGGTCGAGCACCAGGCGGGAAAGCGGGGTCTAAACACTAGTCGTGTCTCAAGATAATTTACAGGAGCGTTTGGCTTGGACTTGGGGGCTCAAGGAAAGCTTCCCCAGTAGCAAAAACCATAACAGCAGCCCGATGAGCAAAGGAGAGCTGGTGTGTTTCAGAGACATTCGCTTGTGCACAGTACTCCGTGGCTGACGGTGTAGCTTTGTTGATTGAATGCTTGAACTAAAAATCCCTGGATCAGCCCTGCCTTCTCTCTTGTCCTCTGCTGCGTTTTGGTCTTAGACCTTGCATCAGTGACTCCTCAGTTCCTGGTTCCCAGTACCTCAGCTTCTTGCTGTTTTACCATCGGCTTCACTGATACTTCAGTTTTATTTTATGAGACAGAGTTTGACGTACCCCAAGATGCCCTTGAACTCACCAAGCTGACCTTGAACTCAGTATGTGTCCTAGGGTGACTCTGAACTTGAACCTCCTGCATCCATTTTCTGTGTGCTGGGACTACAGATGTGTGCCTCCACAACCGGTCTGTGTGCCGCTGGAGCTCAAACGCAGGGTTTCCTGCCTGCTAGACAAGAGTTCTATTCACTGGGCCACATCCCCAGTCCCAGCTTTCCTGATTCCGAGGCCAGGTGCAAGACAGTGAACCCCTGAAGTGGCTCCCCTGGTTCTCAGACTCCATCCCAGCAAGAGCGCATTCTCCTGATAAATCCTCATATAGACAGAAACAGCCTTAATAGTTCTGCCTTTGCAGGGAAGCCTAATGCAGGTACAAACTCAGCAAGCGGCTGGATAGACAGGTTGCAGTTCCGTGGAGAGAACCGCGCTGAGTGAAGACTTCTAAAAGGCATTTTTCTTGTGGGTGGAAATGGAAACTGGGCTTACGTAACCCCAGACAAATTACAAAATGAACCCAAGAAGGCTTGTGGTAGTCTAAGATAGCCTCTGGGCATTCCTGGTATTCCAGTCCTGCGTAGTCCCTCCCACACAGAGTCAGAGCTGGTCTGTAACAAGCATCAGCAAGCCTAGGTCAGAGCAGTCTCGGAGGAAAACTGTTAGAGAAAGGAGACCGGCGCCCTGTCCGCTGTGAGCTTTGTCTAGATGGAGAAATTTGGATGCTCGGCCTCTAAGATTCTGGATTTAGGCAGTGTAGTGGCTCACACCTGTATTGTCTGTGTTCGGGAGGCTGGCACAGAAGCATTGTCATGAGTTTGAGTCTAGCCATGGTGAAATAGTGAATTCTAGGCCAACTCAACCACAATCTGAGACCCTAGCTTTAAAAAAAAAAATCCAACAATGGGGTTTAAGAGTTGGCTCAGGAGTTTAGAGCACGTATTACCCCTGAGGAGGACCTGGGCTTAACTCCCAGCTACCCACGGTAGCAAGCTTTCTTTTGGGCTACCAACCAGTTCCCAAATCATGACACAGACAATTTTTTTTCCTTCATTTTGGTTTTTCAAGATGGGATTTCTATGTGTAACAGTCCAGGCTGTCCTGGAACTCGCTTTGTAGACCAGGCTGGCCTCAAACCACAGAAATCAACCCGATACAGAGACTTATTAGTTATGAATGAATGCTCAGTCTTATCTTATGCTTGTCCCACTAGCTCTTATAACTTATTTCAACCTATTTCTCTTCACCTATGTTTTCCCTCAGGGCTTTCATTCTGTTTGTCCCACTCTGTGTCTGGGTGGCTGGCCCCGGGTATCTTCCTCTCTTTCTCTTTCCTCTCCCTCTCTTGAGCCTAAAGTCCCTCTCTTATTTATTTTCTCTGTCCACAGCCCCTCCTATCCCTCTACTGCCTAGCTATTGGCCTTTCCGCTTTTTATTAGACCAATCAGGTGCCTTAGGCAGGCAAGGTGAAACAGCAACACATCTTTACATAGTGAAACAAATACAGCAGAAACAAATGTTCTAGATCTTTGCCTAGTTAAAGTAATATTCCACAATATTTCCCCCTTTTGTCTAAATAAAAAGAAAGATTTTAACTTTAACATAGTAAGACTATATACAATAGGAGTAATTATCAAGTAAGAATTACATTTACAATATCCAGTCCATTTTTATTTAGCAAATTCAGAGAAACCACTTTATTATCCAACCTATCTTGATGAGTCCAAAGTTCTGTACCTAATTTACCTTCTATCATAACTAAAAAAATTGTAACTATAACTATCTAGTCTTCAACTCCATCAAAGATCCCAGAAGGCTGTAACATTACCTGAGTAAACAGGAAGTGCAGAGCAAAGATCTTCCCAAACTGTAGAAAGGTCAGAAACATCTCACTGCCTGGACAGTCACCCAAGCTTCCCATGCAATGCTGGGCCATCTGTCGTTGGCCTTCAAGCCTAGGATATTGGGCAGACTTTTCTATGAAGCAGGAATTTTGATGGGCTGTCCCACTTTGTCTTAGCAAAGTTCAGCAGTCACTTTCCTTTGTGTCCCGCCTGTCTAGTCTGGACAGCATATTGTCAGCAGTAAGACAAGGGCAGTTTCTTGCCCAAATGGCTACCTTTGCCACAGTGAAAGCGAACTCCATATGGAGGTTCTTCACTGCCCGTCATCCTTTTATGAAGCTGATTGGTGCTGCTGGGAGCAGACGTGTCCCACAGTCATGAGAAGCCTTAGGTTATGAAGCATCTTAAATGTCATGTTCTGTGGGTTTCTAAAGCATTTGGAGCACATGTATCTATCTAAAATACATCTGTTTAACCTAGAAAACACACTAATATGACTGCAAGCTTAATTATTATAGATGAATAACTACTAACCTGCCTTTCTTAGTTATACGTTTCATTTTTCAATGAGCTGCATGCATAAGAACAATACCCCATACAAGAGTAGAAACATACACACAATATAAAAAATAAATTTGTATCAATATACCAAAATCCACACCAATGAAAAATATTTGAGGTTAATGGTTGTCTTTTTAACCTATATATCTATATGCCCCCCCCAAATGATGACAAACATTTATAACCTACCAAATGACCAAAAACTACACACCCTGCCTCTTGGGAATGTGGGCATTACATTCTCCAGACTGCTTCCTGCTGTCTGAGGGCAATGGCGTTTGTAGCAAACCTTGAGAAAATTGAGATAATAGTCAAGTCCTGGGAAAACTAACAGTAACATTCGTTGTCAGTCTCAGAACTGTTCCCATAGTAGAGGGACCAGAATATCTGTCACCTGTCTTATAATCTTTCTTGGTTTATTTCTTAATGTCTGTAGCCAAGATTTTCAGGAAGTTTCCCCCAATCAAACCTGATCTCTATTAATCTCGAAGGAATCCACAACCTTTCATTTCCTGTGAAAACAAAAGCATAACCTCTCCCCTATCACCATACATTCTCTGACTTCCATTTTAAAGTTAAGACATTCCTAAAGTATCTAGGCTGGTTTACCTTAGCTGTCCCTTGTACAATCAAATGTCTCTCAGCCGCTGTCATTCACTCATGAACATTCAAAAGATCCAAAGTCAACACAACACCATGCGGGATCCACGTCCCTGTGTATTTTCCATCTTTGTGGGCCTTTCCTCTTTATATTACTTTTCTTTCTCTTTAAAGACTTTATATTACATCACTCTCTCCTTAAAGACTTTATATTACGTCACTCTCTTTAAAGACTTTATATTACGTCACTCTCTTTAAAGACTTTATATTACGTCACTCTCTCTTTAAAGACTTTACTGCTTTAAACTATTTTTCCCATTACTGTTTATACTCATTTTTTCTTTCTTAAGCCAATGTACATTTTTAAACACACTGTATCCTTTTGCCCATCTGGATCTGACTTACTGCCTGTCTCTAGCCTTTCCTGACCTTGTGAGCCAAACATTAAACTGCTAAGCAGCTTGGCATTGGCGGCTGGCTCTGTGCCCACTTGGGTCCAGGAAGCCAGGCTTTAGGCCTTGAGGGCCTGGCCAAGAGATTCCTTCAACTGAGAGCTGCGTCTAACTGGGAGCTGCATTCAAACCCAAACCCACTCCCCACCACCCACCCCAATCCCGGAAGTTGGTTTTTTACTTAGCTTTTTGTCTCTACCTATCTACTCAAGTGCTTCCTGTACAGCAGAGCCTCTTAAAGGAGCCTTGACCATTTTCTTTTCTTTTTTTTTTTTCCAACTTTCTCAGGCCCTATGTGGAAATTCAGGCCCCACGTTGGAACACCAAATGTATCAAGCTTTCTTCTGGACCACCAACCAGCTCCCAAATCATGGTGTGTGTACACATATGCAGACAGGCACGTGGTGCACATACACATATGCAGGCAAAAATTCATACATAGAAAATAAATCTTTAAAAAATGAGTTGTTTGGTTTATTTATTTATTTATTTATTTATTCATTCATTCATTCATTTTGCTTTTCAAGACAGGGTTTCTCTGTAACGTTGGAGACTGTCCTGGAACTCACTCTGTAGACCAGGCTGGCCTCGAACTCATGGGATCCACCTGTTTCTGCCTTCCAAGTGCTGGGATTAAAGGCATGCACCACCACCACCTGGCTTTTAAAAAAATAAAAGTAGAGAGGGCATGGTGGTAGGTGCCTTTAATTCCAGCACTTGGGATGTGGAGGCAGGCACATCTGTGAGTTCAAGGCCAGCCTGGTCTACAGAGTGAGTTAAAGGACAACCAGGGCTCTGTTAGACAGAGAAACCTTGTCTTGAAAAACAAAAACAAATACCAAAGGTAGAAAAATCCAAGCTGGAGTGTGGCTCGTGGGAGAGCGTCTGCCTGGAATGCAAGCCTGACGTCTTGGGCTCTACCCCGAACACCTCGAGCCCTCTAGGGAATCAAGCTCTCGGTCATCCCTGGTAAGATTGAAGCCGACCTGGGCGACCTGAGACACTGTCTTAACAAAAATCAAATAAACAAAATAAGATCTTTTCAAATGTGGATGCAGCCTTGGGATATTAGAATTTGAGACGCGAGTGATCTGGAGAGTGTTCCTTCCGTCTGATGCACCTGGTGAGTCTCAAGCACTACCGGAGAATGGATGGGGAAGTGGGGAAGGTGAGCTACCCATAATCCCAGCCCTCATCTCCTGTCACTGACCACTCATGACCACTTGGTCTTCAGAGGCTTTCCATTCCCAGCCTCTTCGGCTTTTCCACCCCCACAATCTCTACATCTCCACAGACAGCTTTCATGACTAAGTTATAACTTTAGACATTTGATATCCGTCTTCTCCTCCAGCTCTTCTGCCTCCCTCTCGAACTGTTCTGGGGAAATCTCTAGTCCAGTGTGCCTCTCCTTTGTTCTGTTCATTAATTACCTTTAACTTCCTTCCACATAAGTTGGGAGTCCCGGGGCGATCACACGTATCACACTCTCTCTGACGCACTGACAGCCATGCAAGGGCATCCTTCTGCCCCACCTACCATCAATCTCCTGGACCGTAAGTTCTGCTGCACGGAGCTGTGCTCCACACATTGCCAACCTCAGCCAGGTCCTTGATGCCACCCAGCAGATGCCGAGTTCAGAGCTGAATCCTATCACCTCTGCAATCTGACCATCTTCACGCTGAGATGTTTCCTCCCCTGGAGGTCTTGTTCTCAATGGCTGGACCAGTGTCCTCTCCTGCACCTGCCCCTCCTCAACACCATCTCCTGCTAAAGTCATTCCTCCACTGTCCTCACAGAACGGTTGAGGGAAGAGTGGTGTTAGCAAGGTCTCCTTCCTGCTATTCATGGCTCTACTTTTGCCCATGCTGTCTTCTACAGGATCTCTGGGAGATTCCTAAGGGGAGGGAACCTGATGAGGGAACTTGAGAAGCAAGGAGACCAGAGTCCTGACTCCACTCAGGCAGGTCACCCCAACTTCTCTCATTGAATCCCCATGCTGGGAAATGAGGTGGAAGCTGATGCTTTACAAGCCTGAAGGGGGCTGGGGGTGGGTGGGAGGGGTGGGGAGTGGGGGCATGGGGAGGACCTGTTCTAGGGCAGGGAAACGAAGCTCTACAAAGTCCCTCGATATCTTCACACTAAATGAAGTTTAGAGCCACATTGCCCAGGCTCAGAGTCTGACGGTCATTTGACCAGCAGGATTCGATAAAATGCATCTATTTTTTGATCTGTAAAATGGAGAAAATACTAGTATCTTTTAGGGTTGCAACAAGCAATTAGTACAGTTTCATAACAAAGTTTTACTCATGTGCACATGTGTATTTGACACGAGTGTGTGGGTGCCCAGGCAGGCCAGAAGAGAGCGTTAGATTTGTTAGAGCTGAAGTTACAGGGGTGCTTGGAATCTTGTCCTCTGTAAGAGCAGATAAGTTTCTTAACACTAGCCCCTAATACGCAATCTCTTCTTGTCCAGAGAGAATCTAGGCACATTCAAGTATTTTCCAGGCTAAGAGGAAAATTAATATCAGACTTTCTGGTTTGATCTGAACTGTGTTTCTTTCTGAGTTTCTTCAGAAAGGTCCTTGGAGCCAGGCTGCTGGAGAGGCGGGTCAGTCCGTGGCTATCAATCACCAGCTAAGTCCCGCCCTCAGAGTAGCGTCACAGTTTGTGTGTCCAATCATGAGCAAAGCGCCGCCCCACAGCGAATTATTGTTATTTTTCTTGTCCCGCCGACCCCCGCGGCGTCAGCTTCGCGTCAGTAGAACGCGACGTTAGCAGCGCGCGACGGTGTTGCTCCCGGCTCGGAATTTCGAGCTTACTCGCAGCATGTCGGTCATCTTCGCCCCTGACTGGCTTCGCGGCAAGGCTAAGGTCAACCAGGAGACCATCCAGCGGGTGAGCGTCCCCGAGGAGGGGTCCTGGTGCTGGCGTTTCCTGCAGGGGCCGGACCGCTGTGGGGACAGCCTGGATGCGGGGTAGGGATGGGAGCTGGGTCAGATCGGCGCCTGCTCGGGGCCCCCACCTGATGGCACCCTACACTTCGCCCGCCTTTCAGCTCCTGGAGGAGAATGACCAGCTGATCCGCTGTATCGTGGAGTATCAGAACAAGGGCCGAGCGAACGAGTGCGTCCAGTAAGTGCACCGGGGACGTGCGGCAGTCTGGGTGATGGAATCGCCTGTGAGAAAAGGGAGGTGCGAAAGAGGTTACTTCCCCTCGGTGACGCTGCATGCCTAACTATCGTAGCTTCTGTCAGGCTGCAGCGTGAGGATGGCCACAAGAGTAAGGCGAGCTAAGACTGCATAGCCAGACTCTGTGTCCCCTGCCCTCTTTAGGTTATTTATTATTTACTTGCTACTCAAGACCACAGAGATAGCTTATGGTAGAACCTGGACTTATTCAGGCTTTCACATAAGCCCTGCCAACTGATGACAGGGGAGCATCCGAAAGCTAGGCTCAGATAAGTACCGTGGTCTGTTGATTCGTGGATTTCATGTCCATTCCCAATAATAAGTCAGGGCATTTGATTAACTAGAAGTCAGTCTGTGAGAGATACACATGGACAACAAAGGGATTTCCACATTAAACTAAAGGTTAATTCAATCTGGGCGGTGGTGGTGCACACCTTTAATCCCAGCGCCCAGGAGGCAGAGGCAGACGGATCTCTGTGAGTTCGAGGCCAGCCTGGTCTACAAGAGCTAGTTCCAGGACAGGTTCCAAAGCTACAGAGAAACCCTGTCTTGAAAAAACAAAACAAAGTTAATTAAGGATAGAATTAATGTGCTTTCTTTGGTGTATCAGAATGGGACCCTTTTCTAAATCTGGTCCAAGAATTAGCCACCTGCAACCCTCTCTAAATACCTCAGTGGGACAGCAGAATTTCCATTTTGAGGTGTTTATGTTTGACTCCAACATTTGGTGGTTTGCTGTTTTACACGTTCTCATGCTTAGAAAATGCCTGCCAGCCGCACATTTTTCTTTACTACATTGACTCTTGTGCAGTGGTAGGAAAGATCTACAAATCTCCTATCCTGCTTTTTCACATTGTGGAGGTTGCACTTCCCAAGTCTGATAATTCTTCCTGAATGGCAAGCAGTTGAGAATCGCTATAGTCATATGCTCACCTTGATCATGGAAAGGGCTCCTCTGTCTCTCTCTCTCTCTCTCCAAGGTTTCTCTATGAGGTTGCTCTATAGGCCAGGCTGACATTGAACTCAGAGATTCACCTGCCTCTGCCTCCCGAGTGTTGGGTGTACAACAGACTAGGAATTGTTATTTGCTGTACTGGGGAATAAGAAGCACAAAAGATTCCAAATCTCTTGTGGAGCTGACATTCTAGAGTCCAGAGTCCAAAGGGAGGGATGGAAAGTTGGCTCAGAGGTTAAGAGCACTTGTTGCTCTTGCAGAGGACCCAGGTTCAATTCCCAGTAGTAGTGGCTCACAACCATCTGTAACTATAGTGCAGGGAATTTGATGCCCTGGGCACCAGGCATGTACGTGGTACCCATACATACATGCAGGCAGGCAAAACACACACAGAATCCAGAGGGAAGACATGTAATCATAAGTGCTTTGATGGGATAAAGCAGGGGTCTGATAGAGCACCTTGCCTGTCTGCACAGGAGATTCAGAGTTCAATTTCCATCAGCACAAAAAATCAAACAGGGTAAGTGGGGAGTGGGGTGCAGAGTGTCTCTAATAAGGTAGCATTGGGTGAAAACCTGAGCCCCAGAGGTAAGTAAGGGAGGGTAAAGGTACTGAATAACCACAGGGCATGTGTAGGAGACCCTGGGCTCAGAAGTTAGCAAAGGGGAGGCCATAGGAAATGAGCACACAGAAGTAACTGGAGAGACCCATCACCTAAGACCTCGTAGGAGGGAGATGGCATCTTTAGGGGGTTTAGAACAGTTATGGAATTGTGCTGTGATCCCTCCAACTCTGGGGAATACAGCAGGGTTTCGGCCGGGCGGTGGTGGTGCACACCTTTAATCCCAGCACTCGGGAGGCAGAGGCAGTGTGATCTACAGAGCAAGTTCCAGGACAGGTAGGCCATGGGCTGAGGGAACTGCTCTTGTAGTCCCAACAAAGAAGTCGTGGTTGCTTGAACTAGAGGGAATCTGTGTGAGTGAAAGGAGAATGGATGAGAGTCTAAGGTAAGTGAGAAGGTTGCTGAAATGAGGTGTTGTTGGGGAATATTAAGGTGTGTTACTTTTGTTTATGTTGCATTTGTTTAACTCTATGAAGCTGTGGTGTTACTTGTCTAAAACTCCTGATGGTCTAATAAAGATCTGAACAGTCAATAGCGAGGCAGGAGAGAGGATAGGCGGGCTGGCAGGCAAAGAAGATAAATATAGAAGGAGAAATCTTAGAGGAAAGGAAGAAGGAGCAAGATAGAACAAGAAGAGGAGGACGTCAGGGGCCAGCCACCCAGCTAGCTGCACAGCCAGACAGGGAGTAAGAAGGAAAGAAAAGATATACAGGAATAGAGAAAGATAAAAACCCCAAGGCCAATGATAGGTGGGATAATTAGTTAAGAAAAGCTGGCAAGAAACAAGTCAAGCTAAGGCTGGGCATTTGTAACTAAGAATAAGCCTCCATGTGTGATTATTTGGGAGCTGGGTGGTAGGCCACCCCCCAAGAGAGCCCAAAATAGTAAAGAGTAAAAAACAACCAATAACAAGGTGTGTTGATGCACTTGGGAAGGCAGAGGCAGGTGGGTCAAAAGCAAAATAAATAAATAATAAAAAGAGGGTTTATGACCTGTGTCATTCAGGGGAATACCATTCCAGCACAGTGAGCCAGTTCTCTTCTAGCTGGTATGGTGAGCAAACACGAGCCTCTAATCCTTGTCTTTCGCTCACAGGTACCAGCATGTGTTGCACAGAAATCTCATTTACCTAGCTACCATCGCAGATGCCAACACAAGCAGCCTCACGAAGGCAGTGGAGTAACTCCAGGAGGCTGTTTGCCAGGACCAACTGAAGGGGACACATCTTCTGTGAAATAGAGACACAGTTGTAAGGGACTAAGCCGCTTAGAACGCGGGCAAAAAGGCTGTGATTCGTTTGGACTCTGAAGAAAGTTGCTACTAACTCCTCTATATCTTAGTGTAAATATTTTAGTAATAAAACAGATCCCACAGTAAAACGGAATGGAGGCAATGTGGCAGCAGTGCCATTGTCACGGTCAACAAAATCAATAGTGCTTCTTAATTCTCTGGTATCAAATGATAACCAGTCTTTCTCTGTCCCACCAGCCAGCTCTCAGATAACGACATAGAGACTTGTTAGTTATGAAACCTTGGTCTTGCTAGCTCTGTTAACTTAAATTAATACATTTCTACTAACCCTCGCTCTGTCACACGCTGCCCACCCTGCTTCCATGTCCCCTGGCATCTCATCTGCACTTCATCCCACTTCCTCCTCTCCTCCAGAAAGTCCTGCCTCTTCCTCCTGCCCAGCTATTAACTGTTCAGCTCTTTATTACGCCAGTCACAGCAATATACCTTCATACAGTATACAAGTATCCCACAACAGTGACGTTCACTTCTCTTCAGTATCCCAAAATGCCTCTTTGTGATATATCCCACATCAGCTGAGGCTGTCTCACAGCCCTGATTTTCACACTATTTCAAATCTACGCTATAAAAAATGCCCAAGTTTCTTTTCAGGGAGAGAGGTTGAAGCAAAAATCCCTGCTTAAGGCTGAATTACATACACATCAAAGAGAATCAAGCAAAGGGTGCATTCAGAGCTGAGAAGCAAATAATAGTAATAATAATAATAATTTAATAGCCAGCACTAGGCACATCTGGGAGATAGAGGCAGGAGGTCGTCAGCCTAGGCCACATGAGATCCTGAAAAAGGGAAAATGTATTTGTTAGCATATAAAAAATAGGTTTAACAATGACTTTTTTGTTGTTGATTGGTTTTTAAGACAGGGTTTCTCTCTATTGTCTGCTGTCCTGGAACTCTCTGTAGACCAGGCTGGCTTCAAACTCACAGAGCAATGGCATTTTCATAGTTACACATAATGTATTTTGATCCTATTTACTTCTATTACTCTTGTTTGACCCCTTCCAATTTGAAAGCTTGATCTATAACATAGATGCAATTGAAAGGTATTTTGCGTTTGTGCTGTGGAACAGTCGGCCATGAAGGTCAGACGCCAAATGTATCAGTCTGCTCTCTGTTGAGGTGATACAACACCGTGACAAAAGCAGCTTGTGGAGGAGAGAGTTGATTTCCTTAAACGTCCCAGTCCATCATGAAGAGCAGTGAGGGCAGGAACTGAAACAGACAGGTTTACTGGCTTCCTCTCTTGTTGGAAAGACTGAAATCTGTTAGTTGCTCAGCCCCAGAGGTTGGCTATCTCATCAGTCCCAATCATACGCTGGAGGCCTGGAAGATTCCTGGAGCTGCTGCTCTTGTCTATGTTGGAATCCCAAATAAGTTGGTTTAATATCAACCAGCAAAGGGCAGATGAACTTACCAAAGACAGTGAAAGCAAGCAAAAGTCAAAGTCTCCTAGGTCTTTTTATCTGGAAAAAGAAAAGTATGACTCAGATTTGGGATGAATCTTCTTTTGAATAATCCAATCAAAAATCCCTCAACGGAGTGTCCAGAGGCTTGGATTTTGGTTGGTTCCGGTTGCAATCAAGTTGATAACCAAAGCAGACCGTTATAGGATGATTCTACAGACAGGAGGTACTAGCAGTCACCAGACTGACAGTGTAGAGGTGTCCAGAGTAGGGGTTAAGGGAGGAGGGAGAAGGGAATATGGCTGCACCACTGAACTGTACTTAAAAATGGTAACAATAATATAACATAGGCTTTTACAATTATATAAAACAGTTTTGTAAGAATGGCGGTGTGTCACTTATAATCATATGTCGTCATAAAGCCAAGTACTTAGGGCTGAAAAGCTTTCAACAAATGGCCATGGAACACAGGCCTCCAAGATTTGAGTCCCACTGTACCCGACACACGAAGACTATTTATTATGTAATATTTTTATTGATTATTTGGAAATTTCACATAATGTACTCTGAGCATATTCACGTCCAGCCCTCCCAGGTCTATCCCTAAACCTTGTGATTGTCCCCAAAACAGAAGAAAAAAAAAGTTCAATTTTGTGTTGCTCGTACACTCGCCAGAGCACGGTCACAGTCCCAGCGGCCAGCCCCTCAAAGAAGACCGTCCTTCCCCACCTCCACCAGCAGCCGTCAGCTCTGAAGAGCTGCACTTCGGCATCTTTACCACCATTTTTAATGGTTCTCCGAAGACTGAATTTAAACATAAAAGGAGAAACTTAAATTCCTAGATGACAACAGGAGAAAGTTTTCATGAATTTGAAGTCAATATATCCATTTTCCTTCTCCCCATTTCTCTGTCCTCTCTCCCTCCCCCTTGCTTCTCTTCTCCCTTCCATGTAAATGGAACCCAGTCCATCACACACTCTCAGCAAGTCCTCTACCACTGAGCTGTATCCCCAGCCTACAGGAACTCCTGCGTGCAGAAGCACAAACTGAAACAAAACCAGGGATCAGCTGAGCACTATAATAAACTCTGGCAGAGGCATCCTTCAGGGTCTAGCCCGGATAAAGCAGTCCTTAAGCCCTCGCCAAGGAAGCCAAAACTATGGCAGAAAACCACACCCATCAAAATGGAGAGTACAACCTCAGAATACCTACAAAACAACTCCCACACCTAATGCTCAGGGAACGTTGCCCAAGAGGGGACAGACTAAGAGACAGAGAATCGGGGAGTTTGTTGTGTGATTGTCTCCTAGTAATGTCAGAAGCTACACCCATAGAGCTCACCAACAAGACTGCTTAGACAGCTGAACAGGGCCAACAGCAGAATGCCAAACTGGACAGGGGACAGCCCATGAGTTTTCAGCCCCACACAAAGAGCTACAGACAACCAAGGAATGCTGCCTGGGAGAAATCGGCTTCCTCGGGAAGAGTACACTAAACCAAGTGGTCATCCAATGTCAAATGGTCAGCCCTGAAAACATACATGCAAGTAACATACGGACTGAGCAGGCTGTATGTAAGGATATATATGTACGTTCATATACATACATATATTTAGCAGCAATTAATGAAAAAAGAAGCCATGGATTTGGTGAGAGCAAAGGCTATATGGAAGGGCTTGGAGGGAGGAAAGAGAAGTCGAATGTGGTATAAATTGTAGTCCCCCAAATAAAAGAAATAATTTTTTAAACTAACAAAAATATTATAAAACTCTTATGAATAACTTCCAGCTCTAGGAGATAACGTTTTTGTTGATAAAAGAATTAAGAAAAAAAATCTTTGGCAGAAGACAGTCGAAAGCAATGAAATGCCAAGGCCAAGATTGTGAGAAAGTATTCGCCATCATAACCAGCAAGAATTACACATATCTATCTTCCTAACAAAGCATTTGTACCCTGAGCTCTTCACAGCTCATAGACAAGGAGCTAGATTTAAAAGGTTTGTGACAAGGATTCCAAAATCCTGGAAGTGACACTTGACAGAAGAGGCAGAATGGCCAGTAAGGACAGAAACAGAGCTGTTTCTCTGAGGTTGGAGCGAAGGTGGGGACGAACCTTCCAAAACAGGGTAAGGTTTGTTTGTATATTTTTTATTTCACATTTTATGTGTACCTGGGAATCTCCTGGAACTGTTACAGAATTTGTGAGCCCCCTGAACCCAGGTCTTCTACAAGAACAGTAAGCACTCTTTTCTATTTTTATATACTTATCTTTTTTGATTTATTTATCTCTACATAGCCCTGGTTGTCCTGGAACTCACAGAGATCCGCCTGCCTCGGCCTCCCGACTGTGGGATTAAAGGCGTGCGCCACCACCGCCCAGCACTTGAGAGTCTTTTAACTCGAGACACACAGGGTAAGGACATTTATCAGAGCCCGTTTTATTTATGCACCCGGAGGGAGAAAACCAGCCAAGTGCCACGTCGGCTCCGGACACGTCCACTTCACTACCGCCTTCGTTCTCCGGCCCGACGACCTGAACTCTCGCGATGCCGGGCGAGCCGCGGTTGACAGCTGGCACACGTCTGCGGGCTTGGGATTGGACCGCTGGCTCGGGGGGGGGGCGGGGCGCGGAGGGACTCTCGCGAGCTTTACCTCCAGTCTCGCGAGCCTTGGCGTGGCACTGGGCGGCTGGCCCCAGCCCTGAGGAGGTGGCGTTCCGTTGGTGACGTTGGGCTCCGGCGGCGCCGGCAGGGCGTTCTCCTGCGCTGACCCGGAGCTGTGCGGCCAGGTGAGGAGTTCAACGGGAGTGCGGGCGGCCGGGGCCAGGGCCGGGGCCGGGGCGGGCGGGAGGCCTCCCAGCGGCCTCGCCCCTGTCGGGCGGGCCCGGCTCCGCCCCGCTCGCCCGCCCTCAGCGCCCTCCTCCCTGTCCGCAGCTCCCGCCGCCGCCGCCGAGCTCGCGATGGGCGCCCAGGACCGACCGCAATGCCACTTCGACATCGAGATCAACCGGGAACCGGGTGAGCCGGGGTCGGCCGCTGGTGGCGGAGTGCGCTGCGGGGCCGGTCGGGAGTGGGGAGCAGCGGGGAAGAGCAGACGGGCGGCCTCCCGCAGTCCCGGCGGTGCGTGTCCCTCGGAGTCCAGCCTGGCTGGTCAGCGCTGCGAAGTTGCCGTGGTCACGAGCCGGGCACCCGCCTCGCAGTTTCCCTTGAGAGTCTTCGCCCAGGATTTCGTGACTTAGGGGACAGAACGGCTCGTGTGTGTCCTGTAGCCCCTGAATTGCATCGTGGATACGCTGCAGCTGTGTGTTTTTGTCATAGGAATTCCATAGTGTTCAGCCATTCATTAATACACATGCATACACATAGACACGCACAGACTTACACATACATGCGTGCACGTGTACACACACGCACAAATAAGACATACATATAAACACACACACCCCTCCCCGATATCTTGTTTCAGGCACAGCGTTCTTTTGTTTTTCGAGACAGGGTTTTTCTGTATAGCCCTGCCTGTCCTGGAACTCACGCTGTAAATCAGACTGGCCTCGAACTCAGATCCGCCTCCTGCTGCCTCGAGCACTAGGGTTTCAAATGTGTGCCACCACGCCCGGCTATGCTCAAGAGTTCTAAACTGCAGAAATTTTAACTGAAAGTGTGTTGTGTGTGCCACATTTTATATTGTGGATTTCTTAGAAGAGCTCGTCCTGGGCTTGCCCTTCGGTACAGTAGTGAGAACAGAGCTCCCGTTCTTATGTTTGCATCCTGTTGGAAGAAGACGGGCAGTAGACAGAAGGTAAAACATGGTCTGTCTAGTGGTGCTGTTCAGTAAGGTGGTGAGAAGATGGCATTTCAGGATGGGAAGCTGAGCCTTGTGGCTGTATTTGAGAACTGCTTCGCAGTGGACAGCAGTGTGCATAGGTTCTGAGACAGTACTTGTGTTTTTAAGGGAAAGTAAAATCCAGTGTGGCTGGAGTAGAGGGAAGAGAATAAGGAGACCCCTGACTCCATGACTGAGGAAGACGATGCAGGGTTCTGAACAAAGAAATGAAGTGATCCTAAAGGTTTTGTTTCTCCCGTTTGACATTCCAACCTTACTGTTTTTGCAATTCATTCAGCATTTACCAGACTTACTGTGAAGACTTTTTCCACAGATCTTTGCACACCTAATGTGTGAGCATACTCAGAAAACAATAATTAGTTACTTAGGAATATAACTTGGAAGTATTTTCCTAGAATGACCAAATACTTGGCTTTGATCCCCACAGATACCAATCTAAAAATGAGGTGGACTAAAGTCTCTTGCAATAGCCAGTTCTATTCAGAGCATCAGACAGTTTATACTCTGAGGGTTATGAAGAGTCATAGGAGTGAAGTATGCAGTCACAAGGACAACCCACTCATGACAAAGACATGTTTTTTCCATGGAGGCAGATAAACAAAGAATAGCCAGTTGTAATCAGTAATCTAAAGTGCGCTCACTCTTGTCTGTCACACCTGGAGGGTCACGGGTGCACATTCCAAGAACAGTTCCTGTTTTTGAAGGAACTGAGGTCACAGGACTGTTGTCTTTTTTCCTTAGAGTTTTCTCACAAGCACATTGACCTGCTGAGACCTCTCAGCAGCTCCTCTTTTAGTTTTCTTAAGAATCTGGCCTGGGAGTTTGTAAATTTAAGGCCCTCCTGAGCTACAAATTGAGTTTGAACCTTGAGACCAGCCTGAGCAACTTAACGGAGTGTCTCAAAAAGCGTAAAGAGCGCACTGGCAGAGTGGCTAGACTTGAAGGCTAATGAACCAAGGTTTTACTGTTTTTGGTCTTGTGTGTGTGTTTATAAAAACTTGAGGGATGAAGTTTACTTTTTATTCCTTGTTTTATCTTTTACTTTTTACTTTTGATACCTAGGGCATCAGGCATGTTGACCAGTGCTCTTTGCTAAACCACCTACTCAGTCCCTCCCTTCCCACCTGCTCTGAGCCCTGTTATTTTTCTTTTTGGTTTGTTTCATGACCAGAGCTTATGTTTGTCCCTGAAAATAAACTACTGAAGCATATTACTTCCTTCCCATCAGACTGTATCTTCAGAATGCCTCCTGTTCCGTTCCAAGTTCTAAACGCTGGAAGTGTCAAATATTCCCTGTTTTCTACAAAATAATGCCATTCAATTAAGCTGTTTCTTGAAAGCTACAGTTTGTTTCACAAAATCTTACTTCAGGTTAATATTTTGTTGTACAGTGGTCAGTTTTTGTATAGGATTTGCTCTGTAGTAAACTAACTCAAATTATACTTCCCTCTCTCTCTTTGTTTGGTTTTTCGAGACAGTTTCTCTGGCTGTCCTGGAACTCGAATTTTCATCAGGTTGGCCTGAAATTCACAAAGATTCCCCTCCTTTTGCCTCCCGAGTGCTGGGATTAAAGGTGTGCACCACCACTGCCTGGCCAAGTTATTTCTCTTTATAGCTAGAAATTATGACAGGTTTTTTTCTGATACTTTGTCCATTTCATTCAAAATTGAAGGCTAGACATCTATTTCAGTGGTAAAACATTTGCTTAATATGCACTCATGCATTAGGAGCCTGATTGGGTTAATGTGTTTATCCTAGCGCGCACACGTGTGTGTGTGTGTGTGTGTGTGTGTGTGTGTCTGTCTGTCTGTCTGTCTGTCTGTCTGTCTCTCTACGTATGTATGGGTTTACATCTGGCATTTTACATGGGTTCCAGGAATTCAACTTTAGGTCGTCATATTTGTGATCCAGGTGTTTTGTCTATTGAGTCATCTCCCCAGCCTGGCTTGTTTTTGTTTTTTGAGACAGGATTTCTCTTTATAGTCCTAGTTGTTCTGGGATTCACTCCGTAGATCAGGCTAGCCTTGAACACAGAGATACTCCTGCCTCTGCCTTCCAAATGCTGGGATAAGGCATGGCCTCTACCTCGGAACTACTTTTTATGGTAATACTAAAGCAGGATTTACACTTTTAGGAAGCTTTCCCTTGACTAACCTGAGAACTAATGAAATGTGTGCTTGGACGTTGTGTTAAAGCAATGTTTGAGTTTTGGTTTATATATGCTAATTAACAAGTGTGACCCATAACCCATAAGCAACAGCTTAGGAATTTTAAACAGTTCAAAAGAATATGGAGACCAGAATTTGTGAACTGTTTTCCAAGGCACAGTGTGTTCCTTTTTATTGTTGTTTATTGCAGACAGTATTGGTTCTTCTGAGTAACCTTTTCTCTCCTAGCTCCCAGGGAGTGGAACATGAGCATTGAGTGTTGAGTGTGGGTACAGTTTAGGTGATTGGCTCCAAACAGCTCAGAGAAGAAAGCTCCACAGACATCGTGGAAGAGCTTTCCTTCTAACTGTGCTGAGCAGAATAGACTCCTAAGGAGGGATATGCCCATCACTGACTGGGTCAACTGTTAATTAAGAATACTGGGGGCTGGGAGTGTATGTAGATTAACAGTGGAGTGCTTGCTGGGCATCTAGCAGGCCATGGGTTTGAGCTTTAGCCTCACAACCAAACATATTTTTTTAAACGGGTTATTAGTTTTGTATTAAAGGGTCTAATGTACAAGAAGGCTCTGTTAAAAAACACTTCAAATTGTACAGTATATGTGCTAGAACTCTTAACTGTGTATGGGATTGGTTGCTAAAAAGACAAAGAAGAGACTTATTATTATTACGGTACTTCCCAATAGTTCTTATGTGAAATATTTGTATTAGCTTGCTCACTGTTCTTTTCCCCTCATATATTTTGTTTCAGTTGGTCGAATTATGTTTCAGCTCTTCTCAGACATATGTCCAAAAACATGCAAAAACTTCCTATGCCTGTGCTCAGGTGAGTGAGGGTTTAGCCTGTTTTCAGTAAGACTCCTGGCTACTTGAGCTGCTTTATGGAAGGGGAACTTTCATAAAAATATAATTGTCTGTGAAGTGAGTTTTATAGCCAAAATGTTATTATTACTTCATATAAAATGAAGGAAACATTTCTTGAGAGGACAGGAGGAAAAAGAAATCATCTTTAAAATGAGAAGATTCTATTTCATGTAATACAATCTTTATGTGTTAACTTGTCAAATAGTACATCTTCAAAATTATTTTGAAAAAATTTTATTCAAATTTCAATTCTTAATACATTTAGCACTTCAAATTATAAAACGTAACACTGCTTTTCATTATGCATCATTGCAATGCCCTAGCCAAGCAGAAAAAACCAAGAGATAATGTTAAACATTATAAATAGCAAACTTCATTTTTAAAACTTTGATTTGAACACAAAGAGACACAACATTTGAGCTAATTTATTTCATTCATCTCCATTCTTATGTCTTGTAGCACACAGAATTGTTTCTGGATCAGTTTAAAACATAGACTGATACTGCTTTGTGTTACTTATTTTGATTTGTACATTATGTATGTTTGCTGTATACATGGTGTCATCTGTATATGCCTTACATCTCTCACAGTGTCAGCACATGGGAGGGATTTGACCACAGTTTAGCTTGTTGGTTATTCCTATGGAATGATGGGTTTGTAGCTAAACTTATTCTTTTTCCTCCCCAGGAGAGAAAGGCCTTGGGAAAACAACTGGGAAGAAGTTATGTTATAAAGGTTCTACATTCCACCGTGTGGTTAAAAACTTTATGATTCAGGGTGGGGACTTCAGTGAAGGTATAGCTAAAAGTTGTATTCCTAATAAATCCATTCATCAGTTTGTAAAGAATCTCATTATTGCTTTTAGTGAATATCATGTCTCAGAATGATGTGAATATTGTGTCCTCAGTGCATCAGTGTTGGATGAAGAGATGTTACAGATCTAGAATTTGTGAAAAAGTAAAAGACTATGACGTTTTATTTTGTTTATATAATTAATTTTAGTAACATTGTATCATAGATTTACCATCCAGTGAATACCATAGTATTGCCCAATTACAGCTATTCTAGAAATTTCTTAGTGTGACTACTGCTTGAAATAAGATCATTTTCTGATAGTATTTATCATAGTAGTTTAAAGATTAAATTAATTGCATGTACCTAGAATCATGGGGGGGGTTTGTTTTTTTTGAGCAATTAAAAGGCAATTAAAAATATTTTCTTCAGGATATTGATGCCATCAAAAATAATTTATTGGCCTGGGAATGTAGCTGAATGGTAGAACACTTGCTTGGTGTATGCCAGACCCTGGTTTCTCTCAAGTACTACAGTAATAATAATAGCGGTGGATGTGGTGGCATGTACCTATAATCCCAACACTCGGGAGGTCACCTTGACCTACAATATTGAGACTGTGTCTTAAATCAAAAGCAAATAGAACTGTCAAGGTACTCAGCAGGTAAAGGCACTTGTGACCATGCCTGATGACTCCTATGGTGGAAAGGGAAAACTGATTCCTGCAGCTGTCCTCTGACATACACATTCACACTGTTGTACACATACACTTGTGTGTACGCACCTCCACTAAGTAGATGTTTGGAAGATACTAATTTTCATGTGTTGAATATTTAAAGTTTTCATTATGGCTCATTGTTTTCAGGTAACGGAAAAGGTGGAGAATCAATTTATGGTGGATACTTTAAAGGTAAGGCCTGGTATTTTGTGTTTTTTGTTTCAGTTCTGATATAAAGCAAGTTTGGTCGCATACTTTATTGAGAAGAGGTTTACTTGTAGTTCACGTTTTGCATGAAACTAATGCTGCATGAAAATACTTTATTTGCATGAGTTTGGGGATAAATTATTGTAATATAACTTTTAATTGACAAGATTAATTAAGGCTAACTTTAAGGTTAAACATGACTTTCAGCATGGAGGTTAGGCAACTTTATACATGAAAACTCCTATCTTCCTGCCTAAAACTGTCAACATATTCTTTTGTTTATAGAGAATGTGGTCTTTTGCAAAATGAAAAGGTAAGAGAACGAAGCTCAGTAACACAAACTCCACTCTGCTCCCTTGTGCCCTCCTAATAAATCCACGGACAGTCCGGTCAGGTTGTGGCTGGATTTCTGTATTGTTTGAAGATTTGGAAAAAATCTGTGATTTCATATGTGCATCTGTGCCTTTGTTCCTTTACAATTGGTTATTAGTTCCACATCAGGGAAAAAAGAACCTAGTTGTGGTTTTTCCACACCTAAACCAAGCAATTTCTTTGAATAAAAGTCGGTATTTTTTCTTTTCTCAAAGGTTTGTATGTTTTCTTTTGTGTACTAGAACTTTATGGTCGTATTTTACTGCTATAGTAGTAACATTTCATAAGTCTAACTATTGCACTTCCCCAAAAAGCCTTAGAAAAGTCAGTTGCAGGGATTTACAGTGGGCTCCAGCATTGCTGGGCGTTAGTGATAGCAAAGCTGCAGGGTGTAATGGTCTTTTGTATTTCCTTTGGGGGAAATGGATCACTTCTCTTTTTCAGAAGCCTGTCCCCAAGGTAATCCTTTCTTTAAAGTTTTGTGTTTCTGTTTGTTCTAAAGAAAGATTTGTTTGTATGAATGTAAAAAGAAATTTGGTTTTAAAGATATTTCTCCCAAATACTTACTAGGCCTGATCCTGCTTAGCTTCTGATAGTAGAGGAGATCAGGCGTTTCCAGAATATCAAACTATCTGGTTTTAAAGATACTTGTACTGAATTAAAGCCATCTGTAAGTGATGAAGATGGCAGAATTTTTTCCCTTTCTAGCTTGTTCTAATGGCACGTAGCAACTTACACTTAATGTTGTGGGCTGCTTAATGTGGCTATTCCCTGTGGCAGATGCTTTTGTATCTTAAAATTGTATTTTACCTTTTAAAATGTTAGATTTATACAACTTTCTTCTTTAGGTAATTTTGTGATCCTTCTGACACTTAATTTGATATTTCCCTAAAACTTAAATATATGTAACACTTTTGTTCTCATAGACCAGCTTGACTTCAGTAGAAAAATAAATTTACCATACAAATGCTAAGCATTTAATGTTAGGCTTATTAAAACTCAACTATGTATATAGTTCATATGTCAGGCTAATTGGAAACTTGAAGGAAATACATTTTACTATAGATATTTTCCTAAAAACATCCTGACTGATGCTCCCTGAGAGTTAGTAGTTTATATGTCATTTAGCCAGGCGTGTTCCTGCGGAGGTGACTGTTCTAAGGCTGTTTGTACTGAGTGTTAAACACCTATTCTTTTCCTCAAGGCTTGAAGTAGTATCTTGTCGGCCTTTTTGTGCTTTTGTTACTTGATTAGTTAATTTTTTTTCTAAATATTGCCACATATCTTACTGACCAGAAGAGGAATTTCATCCTTTGCTTTCAATTTAGTACTTGAGCATTACTTTAAAGGCTGCTTATAATTGGAGACTAACAAATTTGTGTTTTCTTCAAACAGATGAAAACTTTATTCTCAAACATGACAGAGCGTTCCTTTTGTCAATGGCAAATCGAGGGAAACATACCAATGGTTCCCAGTTTTTCATGTGAGTAGGCTTAATGCAGAGATGAGCTTTTCCTACAAGAAGCGCTGTTCATGAGAAAGATGGGATAGCTAACCTCATTGTACTGCTCAGACTGACAGCCTTGGTTTGACTCTGTGTTTCTGATGTCGCATAGTAACTGATAATCTCTAATGGCTGCTTCAGCACACATCCTGGGCTTGAAGAGTGGAATCTGAAGGTGCATACTGTTTCCAGGATACACTTGACTGTAACTTCTTCCTCATTTGAAGACTCAGTTTAGAAACCTAGATTGGAATATGAACTCAAGGTGAACAAGCAAAAATTGTCCATGTCACCTAGCTGGATGTGGTAGTGCACGCCTTTAATCCTAGTACTTGTGTGGCACAGGCAGGCCGACCTGAGTTTGACGCCAGCCTGGTCTACATAGCAAGTTCCAGAACAGCTAGAGTTATAGAGCTATATAGTGATACTCTGTCTTTAAAAAAAAAAAAAAAAAAGTCTATGATGGGTGCTATGCACAAGGTAAACCATCATGTGAGCTTTTGTTTTTGTTTTCTCTCTTACTATGAGCCTGTTTTGAGAGAGGTAACATTTTCTAATTAGGTATAGGAAAATGAGACATCTCAACATTGTCATTTTTCCAAAATTTGTAAATGTTACTCAACAAACTTTAAATTACTAAATTTTCTTTTTAAAGAGCCACATATCTTTTGGGCTGGGTGTGTGGTTCAGGGTTGATAAAACACTTGACACATGAGCCTAAGGACCTGAGTTTGGTCCCCAGAGCCCGTAAAGGTGGAAAGAGAAAACCAGCTCTGCAAAGTTGTCTTCTGACCTTCACACGTGTGCCTACACAGCCATATAGACATCAGGCACAATAAGGACACATTTTTTAAAGAACATGTTTTTTTGTTTGTATGTGCATGCACAGCCAAAAACTAGATTCTCATATAAACATTCTAAGTAAAACCTTTGGCATCCTTTTAATTATATTCTTAGCTAAGTGTATTTTTATTTATCTAATTATATAAAATATGAAAATAATTGTCCAGCATGCAGTTTAATACTTTTGATAATAATCTCTGTTCTATGTATATTGGAAAAATATTTATGGTTTATCACAAGTTTTCTTTTACATCTTTCTGAATGGATAAGTATGAATAGCGCTTCCCTGCCTTTAAAGGTGTCAATTATTCATATAAAAAACTCATATTTTAAGTTTGTTTGAAAGATTTCCAACATGATCTGAAGAAGTTCAGATAAGGGGCATTCTATTCCTAAGGATGTCCTAAAAATGGAGAGCTAGTAGGAGGTGGTGGTACGGGGTTACAGGGAAGGAAAGCTGAGGCAGTCACCCCACAGATGGCTAGTTACCCCCCTTTTCACTGGAGCACTTTTCCTGTTGGGGGCAGGGACATTGCAAAGTAGAGGTAGAATTTCAAAAGCTTTGTAGTAACTCCATGTCAAAGCTGTTTGCTCTAAGGCCTCATTGTTTCCATTTTTAAGCTTATCTGAACTGTGAACATGAAAAACTAATGATTCATTGGTCAGGAACGTGACATCTGAGGGCTCTAAAGTTTCTTTTTTATGTCATTACGTTTAAAATGTGTCTTATCAGGTAGTAGCAGTTTCTTGCCTTTATTATATATAGTCTGCTTATTTAGCCTCTGTTACCTTGACATTGAATAGCTACTTGAATCTCTAGGAACATTTAGTAAAGGCATTATGGCCTAATTCTGCATTGGACTGCTGTTTGAAGAGGAATGCCAAAGGAAATTTTTAAATCAATAAATTAGGAATAAAAAATTTAAGCTTGTTTTCAGAACTAACTATAGATAGCACTAAAATCACGGAATGCATGATAAAAAGATTTTCTATCTTTAGTTTGGTGAAAAGTTATAATGAAACTTTCTTGTGGAGAAGAGTTCACAGTCTTAGAGGTAACTGATCATTTTGCACTCACACAAAGTTTGTTCTAATTTTTCTTAAGTAACTTGTGTGCCTATGTGCTGCTTTATGCTGACTGGAAATTCCAGTTTCCACGAGTTGCAAGATAAAATCAAACTGATGTTCACTTTCTGAACAAAATATTCTTTTATGAAAAGGATAAATACAAAGAGATGGTGGCCAATAAAGGAGAAATCTTTGAAACTCTGTATTTTGCAAGCCAATATTCTTTTGGAGCTGGAAGTCATAAAAAGAACATCTTTAGTTCTGTGTATAGTCGTCATAGGTGAGACCTACCCAGTAGCTTTCCTGGGACAGTGCTTGGGGGTGTGTTCTCCACCACACACTTCATATGGCACCTTGGTAGCAGTTCTGAAGGAGAAAAAAAGGATACTGTCAAAAGAGAGGCCCAGATGTGCCTTATTGTTTCATTGGTCTTGCAAAGGACCCGGTAAACATCTGCACAGAATGGTGCTCAGTTTGTGTCCCACGAATCTACAGGTCCTGAGGAGTGAGTTTGGTGCTGTTATATGGGAGTCCCTCGGGGATTCCTGTGCTCTGTGCACTAACTGTTGGCTTGATTCGCACATTAAGCAGCTTCCCTTCCTAAGATGTACATTGTTTTCATCAGTATAATTCGATGTACAATATTTTCAGTGGCTGAAACTTTGTGTGTGTGTGGAGAGAATATATCTTAGCAGGTATATATTAACAGATAAATATTTTATGATCATAAATAGTGAAGATGAGGTTTTCTTTACAGCCATTTGTAATTTAACGGTTAACTACTTGTGTTGACTGCTGTATAAACTGGTGCTTCTGTTTGGGGAGCTTACATAGAAGAAAAGATATTTTTGGGCGTAGTGCCACTCAAGAAGTGGCAAGGAAATGGTGTGTGGCCCCATCTTCATAAAGTTGTAAGGAAATAAGAGTTCACATGGAAACATTTTGTAAGTTCAGAATCTTGGGACCACACTCACCAAGTCAGTCCTTGTTATTTTGACTCATTTTGTCATTTTCTCTTTATATTTTAGATCAAGTATGAGAAAAACCCAGTCAGTGTTACAGGGCAGAAAGTATAGTTCAGTGATGGAGAGCTGACCTTGGAGCTGGCCTTGGATGTACAAGGCCATGGGCTCAGTCACCAGAAAACAAGTGAAGCAATGGATGGGTCAGGAAAAAGCTGTGGAGTTAGAGATCGTGTGGGACAAGGCTTTTGTTCTGTCGAGAATGAAATGCTAAATAAATAAGGAAGAAAAGACATATACAGTCCAGGCTGCACCAGAGTCTTTTCTCACACTCTGGAAGAAAATGTCAAGACAGGAAGAAAGCTGCTGACTGCATGCTCCAGGGTCAGAGTGCTGTGTTCTGATCCCTGTGGCTGAGTGTCAGAGGCAGGGACATTCTGAGAAAGAAAGTGGCATCTGGGGAAACTGTTTAGCTGTCGTTGCTAGTGATAATTCTGTAATCACTATAATGATTTATATTGCCTGAAGTCATTGAGTAGAGAGGAAAGCGTTATAAAACAATTAGAAAGGCTAATTTATAACTTTTGTTATTACCACTTTTCTGGGATAGAATGCATACCTATGGTGTGGCTCGAGCCTGTGATCCCAGCACTCTGGTGGCTGTGGAAAGGAGAACAGCTGTGGATTTCAATACAGAGTGAGTTCCAAGTCATCCTAGGCTACACAGTAGACGACCCTGTCTTAGAAAAACCACACACACACACACACACACACACACAACAAAGAAACCTTGGTTTTAGTTCTGTTTTTCTGTACCCTGAATTACTTTTAAAAATCTTTGTATTTTTTTTATAAAAGCTGGCATCACTTTATGTGTGTGCCTGTGTGCATGTTCTCGGGTGTTCTTGAGAACAGAAGGTAGAAGTTGACATCAGGTATCTTTCTTTGTCAACCCCTCCCCTTATCTTTTTGAGATAGTTTCTCACTGAAGCTGGAGCTCTCCGAATTCTCCTAGGCTGGTTGATTGGCAAATCCCAGTAACCTTCCTTTCCCTGCCCTCTCCAGCCAGTTCCAGCATTATAGGCACATGCTCCTACCAGCTGCTGTGTAGGTACTAGCTCTTGGAACTAGGGCCCCCTCATACTTACACAGTAAACACTCACCGACCCATCTACCAAGCCCCAAATAGCCCTATTTTTAAGATAAACTATAAACATTTTAGAAGAAAGAGTTTGTCTTACAGAAAGACCCTGTGAATAAACAATGATTTGTGTACAGACATTGTTCTGTAGCTGCGTAGTTTTCACCGTCAGAAAAACACCTCAGAAAGGCTTGGGGCTTACTTCTCTCGACCAGGAGCTTCAGCAGTCACTCCCTCAGCTGCTGCTAAGATATTTTTCAGGCAGGCCTTTAAAAAACAAAACAGTCTTTTGTGCACATGAGTGTTTTGCTTGTATGTCTGTGTACCATGTGCATGCAGTGCCCTCAGAGGCCAGAAGAGGGTATTGGATCCTCTGGGACTAGAATTGTAGTTGTGAGCCACCATGTGGGTGCTGGGCATTGAACCTGGGTTCTGTGGAAGAGCAGCCAGTGCTCTTACTCCCAGCTGTCTCTCTAGCCCCAAATAGGCCTTTTTATGGCTTCAAAGCTTTGGTCAGTATACGTTCCTGGCCACTATTCTTGGTCATGATAATTTTTATGAAAACAAGATAATATAGAAAAGCTCAACTTGACCTTTTAAACAAATTTTTTTTTTCTTTTTCTTAGATCTTATAAATTCAGTCCTTTAAACCAAGGTTGGCTGGAACACAGACCACCTGCCTCTTGTCTCTGCCGCCTTGTGCAGTAAAGACATGTACCTCCATACTCAGCCTGCTTATTATATATATGAAGTTCTTTTTTCTTCTCCCTATTTTTATTTTATGTGTATGGGTGTTTTGTCTGCATGTGTGTCTGTGTACCATAAGGATACCATGCCTCTGGAGGCAGAAGAGGGTGCCATATCTCCCGAGACTGAATTCCACAGCTAGTTGTGAGCCGCCATGTGGTGCTAGGAGATGAGACTGCGGTCCTGGAAGAGCAATCAGTTCACTTTTGTTGTGCTGCGTTGGCTTTGTTTGTTTTCAGGGGAAGCAATAACTTCATATACTATTTTCAGAAGTCTTTTGAAAGGAAAAGAGTTTGTGATTCTGAACTCAGAGTGCTTATGTGACATACATGCTAGCAGTCATGAAGGAATGTGTCTAGTTATCATTGTGTGCTTCCTTCATATTAGAGCTGAGCTTTAGAAGGCTCTTCTATCTGAGTGGCCTTGGGAACACAGTGCATTGTGAGTTTCTCCCGCCTTTGTGACAGCTGCAGTTGCAGGCTGTGAAGGAACAAGTTGAATGTCAAAGATGACATTAGATTAGTTGTTTTTAGTGCCCTCTTCCCTTAGGTCTGCAGTACCTTTCTGTTTTACACTCTGAAAACTGCATGATTTAAACTTTGTGTGTGTGTGTGTGTGTGTGTGTGTGACACTAATGCATGTATCATTACCTATATAAGAGATTCTAATTTACTTTTGCAACATTTTAACTAATCTATCTAAAATTCTATCAAGTTTTTGTTTGTAGTATATAGTAGAAGGTTTTTGGTTTATATAGTCATAGGTTTTTTAAAATTTTCATTAGTTAAAATTCATATGTGTGTTTTCTTAAAAATTCTTGTAAGAGGAAAAACCAGATTAGACATAAATCCTGTGGCTGGGATTTGACATCATGCTCCAAGGCTGTCACCTCTGTTACCATTTGAGTCTCAGAGAAGATCTCTAAGTTCTAATTGTGCCTTTAAGACTGTTTTTATTAATTCTGTTCAGTGACTTAATCGCTTGAGTACATGCAGCAAGCAGTGAGCCCAGTCTAGTCTCTGCCCAAATCATTCTCCAGTTGTGTTGTGACATAGCTAATATGTCAGCTCTGTTATGTTGTGATAAACAGCCAAAAAAAAAAAAAAAATTTTAAAGGCAGAGATGTGAACACAAACTGAATTAGTTAAGTTCCTCAAGTTCTGTTTTGAATGATCTGAACTTGGGTTTTTTTGTTTGTTTGTTTTTTTGGTGGGGATGGGTGATCTTTACTTTCTACCAGGAAGTTCCTACTTCTTAGTATTTGGATTTGTATGTCTGTGTTGATACTCAAGATGCATTACCTTTATGAGAAAGATGGCATAGCTAGTCTCTATGATTATAAATGTTTTATTAGCTGTTACCATCCCCTGTGTTAAAGTACCATGGGTCTAAGAAGATCTCCACAAGGCTTTTCTAAAACAAAATCCATCTCTTCATAAATATCTTGTGAAAGAAAATTTAGAGCCCTCCATTTTAAAAAGCTTTCTTTGCATAAAATTTACAAAATTTTAATTTCAACGTTATATTGATATTAAAACATAGATTCAGTCTTGTCTTAAAAGTGTATTACAATTTATTTCTTGCCATTTTTGTGTAAAATTTACAGAAAGAGTGTTACACCGTGCGCTCCAAAGGTAATGTCTCATTACTCTAAGGCTCTCTCTTTTTCTTTGCCTTTGTTTCTTTAATCCTATTGTTATGTGTATTGAAACATTTTAAGGAAAAAGCTTTCTGCTTGTTTTGTGTAGCAGCAGTGTATGTAAAACAAAGGTGTTTGTTGCTTATGGTTAACCTCAGAGTACAGTTTATTTCAGTGGCTCGCGAGCTCACTGGGTGGTGTTTTACATTAGGATTTCAGGAACTAGTAAGGTCCAAAAGCTACTCTGATGATGGCATAAATGTAGTTTATTATTTGGAACAATAGCAATACTTTTCCGTTTCTAGGGTTTGTGATTTAAATGAACCCTTGCAGTAACTGCTTTGAGTGGATTCAGGGCCTGAAGTGACTGTATCTAAGTGACAGGAGAGAACACAAGTGTGTGAGCACTGATGCTTTAGTTAGTGTGTATAAACTTGCACATCTCTGCTCAGCTCTGCTCCTCTGAGTCTTCATTTACTGTGTGTGTATTGCTGTCATGAGTGATATCATTGAGACCATTGGGTGTGGTAAAGAGTTGGGTAGGGTTCCTCTGTCTGCTTTAATAGACTTGGCTGAGCATATGGTCTCTCCTGCCCTCCTGTTATCCTACGGGCTGTTGACTGTTTACCATGTGTGCTGTAAATACAGTGCCAATGTGCCTGCCCTACAGAGAGCCCTGGAATTTGTAGGCCCAAATCCAGAGTTCCTTTTTTGTGAAATATTGTTCGTGTTCTTACTGTGTATTCTGTCCCAGTTAAGGTGCACGCTGGTCTTTCTGTATCCTGAATTGCAGGATATTGACTGAATTGACAGTCAGTTAAATGATTGACATTGGTTTGGACACTGAGCAGACTGAAAATTGTCCTCAGAGGCAGAGGTGGCCCTTTCCTCTATTCATGTGTACATTAAGGGCTGAGTTTGTTTATCAGCCAGTTCTCATTTGAATTCAACACGGAACTGGGCCTGACCATGTCGCTCAGTGGTTGAGCACATTTCTAGCACATATGAAGGACCTAGGTTCATTTTCAAAATAAGACAGGTCATCTGTCCCTAAGATCACTGTTCATCCTCAGTCAGTCTGAGTCTGTATTGCTGCAGCGAGCTGGAATTTGTTCCAAGAGTTTGCCTTACATAGCTTTTATAGTATTTGTTAGCTGAGGTGGCAGTCGAATTAGACTTTGTGTATGCTAGAAAAATCCGTAGTCTCTTCTCAATGCTGGATTCCTGCGAGTGAGGCCCAAGAAAGGAGAAGCAGCGTATCTAGCCAGTAAACAACCACACGTGCTCATGTGCACAGCAGAGCCGTCTTACCTTTTCTGGGGGCACCTTACACCTTCTGAGCACGTATTGCTGTCCAGCTCGTGTGTTAGTTTCAGTTTCGGGAAAGTTGTACAACACAGAAAGCGTTTTTGTTTTTCAGTTATTGTCTGCCATGGCTTCTGGGTGATTGTTTCATAGTTTCAGTGTTTCTGGCTCACCAGTTGTTAGATTTTCTTCATTTCTTTTCCCTTTTTTGTTACCTGTTTTTATTTTTATTTAAAAATTAAACTGGCTTTAATTTCTACTCGATTTTCTAAGAAATATTTGAGACTTGTGACTTTAAAACTCAGAATTTCATTTAAAGTTCTGAAACTTAAGTTGACATTCAACTTTTCTTAAGTTAAATCTATCTGTACTCCTCTAACAGAACTGGATGTTCTTAAAGTAAGTATAAGCATTACAGTCTCTTATACAGTCATGTTTTTTGGCATTTTTGTAAGGTTAAATTGTGTTCTGTTTGTGTGTCTTAGAATAGCTGTAATACGGTCTGATAGGTCATCTGTTTCCATCTAATTGAGGTTCCTGTGGTCTAACGCTGATCAAGCTATCCACTTTCAAATTTTTGCATTGTAATTCACATATAAAGATCTATGGAAAATGTTATGGGAAAACCAGCTTGGGTTCAAAATATCTTAACCAAGTATACCCCACAGATTTCCCAACAGTGACAGTGGGACATTCACAGAGCAGCTTTTGGGGTGTTTTCTGGACCATGGAAATTGAAGATGTCAATACCCCCTCAATTCTTATTTTGCTGTGAGGAGTATCAGCTGTTTGAAAGTCCCTCCCTTTTGCATTTCAGAGTGTGACTGGCAAAGCTTGAATGAAAGAAGAGGGGCAGGCAGTTCTGCAGCTAGGACTCCTCAGGCTCCTTTGCTGCCTGCCTTAAAGTAGATGCAGACTGTCTCAGTCTCAGTAACAAACCAAAGAGCCAGTGGGGGTGTAGCCAGTGCTCATCACTCCTCCTAGTGGGGCAAGGCCTTCCTCCTTGTTCAATTATGCTGGGAAATTGGTTTTGTTTTTTAATGTTTGTTTCTGTTGCTATTACTGTTTTTGGTTTGAGAGTAAATTTAATTTCAGTGTGTACGCTATACATTTTCCTATAATGCAAATGAAACCTATCTCATATAGTCTAATAGAATTGCTTCTATAATTCATTGCAATCTTGGTTTTTTTAAATCAGCAAAATGGCTACTATTGGTGTTTGGATATATATTATGTTTAACATTTTTTTCTGTCTTTTTATCTTTACTTCTTTGTTTACTACATGCTGTGTTTAAACCTTCTGCTTTCTTCATCTGAATACGTCATTTTTGATACCATCTTTGTGTTGATGTTTATTGTACAGAACTACAAAGCCTGCTCCACACCTGGATGGGTAAGCATCAAGTTATTAAAATCTTGGGACGTTATTTGGGTGATAAGCCTGAAAGACAGGTTGACCAGGAGTTAGTCTTTCATTGTCAAGCTCTTCCTGAGGAGGCACAAAGAACAGTAGTTTTGAGAGCCCATCCCTTGTATGACTGAAGAGGTCTTCCCCTTGTGCCCATAGGTAGGCTTCCCATCCACGTGGTTTTGATTGTCCCTGTTGAGGTGATTTCTCTGTATGAGGTATATCAGATTCGGGGTTTTTTGTTTGTTTGTTTGTTTTCCAAAACAGGGTTTTTCTGTAGCTTTGGAACCTGTCCTGGAACTAGCTCTTGTAGACCAGGCTGGCCTCGAACTCACAGAGATCCGCCTGCCTCTGCCTCCCCAGTGCTGGGATTAAAGGTGTGTACCACCACTACCTGGCTGATTTCTTTTAAGTCAGAATCAGCCAATATTTTTAGTCTGTGGATGAGTTTTCTTTTTCTGTTCGAGCATTTTTTGTTTGGTTTGGTTTTTTGAAGCAGGGTTTCTCTATGTGTAACAGTCCTGGCTGTCCTGAGATCCGCCTGCCTCTGCCCCCCCCCCCCCCCCCCCCCCCCCCCAGTGCTGAGATTAAAGGTGTGCATCATCACCGCCTGACTGTTGTCGGATTCTTAACCCTAGGAAGGCTAGGAGCCACTGCAGAACAGTCCCACTTCTCTTCAGATGAACGGTTGCTGTTCCTTATTATGACGTAGAATTCAAGTTTTTTCCCTTCTAGTTGATTCGTAACATTTTCAGTTCTGTGAACATGTTTTTTGTAGCATTGTCCCAATTACTGTTCATAATATAATTATAAGACTATTTTCGAGACAGGGTTTCTCTGTGGTTTTGGAGCCTGTCCTGGAACTAGCTCTTGTAGACCAGGCTGGTCTCGAACTCACAGAGATCCGCCTGCCTCTGCCTCCCGAGTGCTGGGATTAAAGGCATGCGCCACCACCGCCCAGCGACTAATTTATTTCTTGAATTTATATTATGACAGGGTTCATGTTGTGTTTGGACTGGTTATTTCCGGTTTTGAAGTAATTGAACAGATTGAAAATCTGAAAACTGATGCTGCAAGCAGACCTTATGCAGATGTCCGAGTTATTGACTGTGGGGTGCTTGCCACAAAGTTGACAAAAGATGGTAAGAACTTTTGGAGGGTGGAGGAGTCTGTGATAGAGGTGAAAGAGTATGCCCAACTTGAAGATACCTTCTAAATGTCTAAACTACCTTCTAAATGTCTAAGCTACCTTCTAAATGTCTAAGCTACCTTCTAAATGTCTAAGCTACCTTCTAAATGTCTAAGATACCTTCTAAATGTCTTAGATACCTTCTAAATGTCTAGGATACTTTCTGAATGTCTAAGATACCTTCTAAATGTCTAAGATACCTTCTGAATGTTAGTGTGAATAGTGGTAGCATTGGTGCTTCAATGCCATTCTTTATCCCATCCACCATCAGATGCCATCAGTTCCTTGTTGCTTCTGCCTGGCTGCTGGCTGATCCAGGCGATCTCATGCTTGTATTATTGAAGTACCCTCATAGCTATCTACCTTGCTCCTGTCTTGTTTTCGTGTGAACATTCATCAGCAGGAGTTCTTCTGGTTTTTTGTTTGTTTGTTTTGTTTTACTTTGTTTTGTCTTTAGCAGCTACCACAGTGATCCTTTTAAGCCACATTTCATATGCACATCCTTCCTGTCCTGACACCTGTAGTGGTACCCTCAGCACATAGGCCTGTGACTCTCTGTTGTCTTTATTTTTCCCTTACCCATTGTCTTCCATCCACACTGACCTTTATTCAGACACTAAGGGACTTTTGTGCCTGCCCTGGGATGTCTAGAACTTTGTTTGTTAAGATATCTATATGATATCCCTCCTTTAGGGCTCTGTTCAAGTGTAGTCTTAAGCTACCTGCTTCTCTGTTCCCTTTGCATTGTTTCTTTTCTGTCCTAGCTCTCATCACTTGTCGCACTGATTTAGAATATAGGCTTCATGGTGGGCAAGGGCATTGATATTTTTCAAGTTTGCAGACAACTATCTTACCTGTAACTGAGGAAAAGTTTACATCTAGTTTTAGTTTGCTGAGCATGAAGCAGTTACGTGATGATCAGTAGTCACTGTTTCACTCTGGATGATGTGCACTGGGTTCAAGTACTAATGTTTTTGTTAATGTCTATTAAAAGTTTTTGAGAAAAAAAGGAAGAAGCCAACACATTCGGAAGACTCGGATTCTTCTTCCAGTTCCTCTTCCTCTTCAGAATCATCCTCAGAAAGTGGAGTTGAGCAAGAGAGAATCAGAAGGAAGAGACACAAGAGAAGGCCCAAAGTCAGACACACTAAAAAGAGACGGAAGGAGATGAGCTGTTCAGAGGAGCCCAGGAGGAAGCGCACAGTGAGCCCTGAAGGGTAAGTGTGAGTCAGTGGTCCGACCCAGCACAGGGCCTGCACAGTGACCACTCTGCAGGCTCAGTGTTGTTGTGCACCCCGAGCTGAGAGAGGGGAGGGAGCCTTTGGATTTAAACCGATGCCTATAACAATGTAGGAGTGGCATAGACTTCTCAGCAAAAATTGGTGTGTTTTCAGGTGCAGGTATTTCTGGACTTTTTTTTAATAATAAGTTTTATTTTGTGTGTTCAAAGATGTGTGTATGTGGTAGATGTGCATATGTGTGGAGGTCAGAAGATAGTTTGGAGGAGTGATTTCTTTCTAACAGATGGGTCCCAAGGGATTAAACTCAAGATATGAGGTTTGGTGATTAGAGCCTATATTCATTGAACCATCTTTCCTGCCCTAATTCCTGAAAATTCTTTTTTTCAATACAGTGTTTTTATTTATTCTGAGAATTTCATACATGTCTACAAGGTAATTTGATCATCTACTTCCTAATCCCTCTTCAAATCCCAGTACCCACTATGTCTCCCTTCTCTTTTATTTTTAATCTCTCTCTCTCTTATTTTCAGTAACCCACTGAGTCCATTTAATGTGACCTGTATGTGCAAGGGGTATAGGGCCACCCACTGGAGCATAGGAGTATGTATCAGGGTCCACACCCCTGAAGAAAACTGATTCTCCCTAAAGCAAGACATGGGTAATTGAGATGGCTCAGTGACTTCTCACCAAGCCTGACAACCTGAATTTGATCCCTGGGACACGTGGTCAAAAGAGCGAGCCATCGCCCACAAGTTGTCTCACTTCAACATCATGGCACGTGCACAATAGCACACACAAATAAATACAATTTTAAAAAAGGAAACATTGCCAGGCAGTGGTATTGCATGCCTTTAATCCCAACACTCAGGAAGCAGAAGCAGACAGATCTCTGTGAGTTCGAGTTCAGCCTGGTCTACAGAGTGAGTTCTAGGACAGTCAGGGCTGTTACATCGAGAAACCTTGTATTGAAAATCCAAAACAAACAAACAAAAAAAGGAAACATAGTAGCATTGACAACTTCCATTTCAAAATTTTAGTATTCTGGTTTTTTTTTCTCTTTTTAATTTTTTTTCTTTTTGTAAAAATTTTCTTTGCTCTGGATTTTTAAAATATATTTGTTGTTTTTATATATTTGTAAAAATCAATAACTCGGGGTAAGTTTTGCTGTTTTATGTGCCTTTATTTGATGAAATACTAGCATCTAAATTGGTGACATGATTTATTTATTTTAGTTATTCTGAGAGGAGTGATGTGAATGAGAAAAGATCAAGTGATTCAAATGCTAAAAGAGAAAAGCCAGTTGTCCGTCCGGAAGAGATTCCTCCAGTTCCTGAGAACCGATTTCTACTTAGAAGAGATATGCCTGCTGTCACAGTGGAGCCTGAACCGTAAGTAGGCGGGTGCACATTGCTCTTCTCCCTGCTGTGCCTGCGGACAGCAGCACCTTGCTTCTGTTTCTGGGAATTAAGTGCATCGCTGCAGAACAGACCACGGAGCAGCTCTAGCACAGAGGGAGGGAGTGCTGCCTTTCAGCTCCTCCTTCCTCTTGTAATCTGCCCTAGCACATGGGATAGTTAGTATGCCCAGTCTTGTAGGTGATTGGATAGCCAGTCAAGTTGACAGTGGTGGTTAGCAAGCACACTGTATATTTTTGTCTCCTGATAGATAAGTCCACTATTTCATTGCAACTTTACACTCACTGTGACTCAGGCTCGGAGTACACAGAAGATACTGCGGGTAGTCCCCAGAGCACTGAATGGCTTGTACCTCCTTTTTGGAACCCACACTTGAGTATATGACTAGATAAAGGAAGTGGGCACGTTATTCAGTGCTGTTTTGGTTAGGTGGTTTTTGTCTCCTTACGACTCTTGCTGTGTGTTGTAGGTTAGCCTTGAATTTGGGATCCTTTCGCTTTATCCTCTAGAGGATTAGAGCTATAGCTATGTATATGCTGCCATACCTGGAGGGAGGGAAATGCTTATTCGATGTCTGGGAAGGCTATGTTACTGGTCTTACTGCATGGGTTATCAGGTTGATCGAGCCCTGTGGATCCAACTGAGCCATGAAATGTTTCACTTTTAATAATGCAGAGGTGACTGGAGGTAAAATTTAGTATCATAAATATTACTGTAGTTAATTTCCCTTGTGTTGTGGCTTTAGATTTAGTCTCAAAAAATACTATTTAATGTACTTTTTATATTACATTTAAATTCAGAATTATTAAAATATTAAAAGGACAGGAATATGGTGGCATATGCATGTAGCCTAGCCATGAATGAGGACTTTTTTAAACACATGAAAAGATTTTAATTTTTTTCTTTTTTTTTATTCTCTGTGTCTTTCACATTATGCATCTCAATCCCATTCATTTCCCCGTCCCCTCACATCTACCCTCTGCCTCTGCAACCCTCCCCCCAAAATAAAAATTAAAGGGAAAAAAGGGAAAAATTGAAAATCTTATCATGGAAGCTGCCGTGTGGCATAGTGAGTCGCGCAGTAAACCCTTTATCCCCGTGTCTATACTTGCAGGTGTTCATGCAAAGAGTCATTGGTCTGATTTGAGGCCTCTGGTTTCTATTATATTATCAATGCTGGGCCCTTACAGAGACTCTTCTTGGTTATCCTGCTGTTGCTGTGGTGTGGAGATCCTGCAGCTTTGGGTCTGCAGGCCAGACCCCTTCACATGCTGCAACAGGTCATGGATGGGGTGGATGCTGGCACGGGCCAAGTCATAACCCTGGTTCTGGCGCTAGGCAGCTGTAGGGTAGTCTGCCTGCCAGTTGCCAGTTCTCCCCTGTCCTCACCACTAGGGTGAGCTCTCCAGCATTGCCCCCAGCTAATCCACCCTTGCAGCCCTGAGCAAGTAGTAAGGTCAGTTCTCAGGGTCGCTTCTCCCCCACCTACACCATCAGGGCTAGTTCTGCTGTGTTGCCCAGGCAAGGTGCAGGGGCCACTCTCTTGAGTGCTGCAACTTGTTAAGGGGTAGGTACAGTCTTTCTGCTCTATGATCCCAGGGCCAGCTCTTCTGTCTCAGGAGTTGATGGACTGGGGGTAAGGGGAGAAGGTATCTCTCTTCCACCCGTGCTGCCAGATACCAGATGAGTAATGGGGACAGCTCCCTTGCAACTTTGCGTCTGGCTCTGCTGTGCTGACCAGGCAAGGAGCAGGGCCCGCTCTCCTGAGTGCTGTTGCCGGCAAAGGGGAGGGGCTATAGAGTGCATCTCTTCCCCATCCACACTACCACATGACAGCTGAGTAACGGAGACAGCTCTCCCACGCGTAGAACTTTGGGGCTAGCTCACCAACACCTTTGCCAACAGGGTTGGCTCTATTGTGCTGCCCAGACTAGGTACAGAGCCTGCTTTCCTGAGTGTTGCAGCCCGTGGAGGGCAGGGAGAGTTGGGGAAGATCATTTGACCCAGAAGTCGTGTTTATCCTGAACAACGTAACAAGGTCTAGTGTCAAAAGACAGACGTGAGGAAGGAGAGGGAGAAGGAGAGGAAAATGTTCCGTGTGAACAAAAGCGCCACAGTGCCTGGTGTAAGTCATGAGCTCCTGTGAGTTTGTTTAGACAGCTGAGAAGCCAAGCAGGGCTGTACCCCAGCCCTTCATAGGTTTTTATTTTGTTTTCTTTGCTTATTTATTTTTGAGACAGGGTTTTGCAATGTAGCTAGGCTGGCATTGAACTCCCCACATCCTGGGATTATAGACATGTGCTGGCATGGCTGGCTTCCTCCACAAATCTTTTATTTAAAAAAGTTCGAGAGCAGCCTGGTCTACAGAGCTAGTTCCAGGACAGGCTCCAAAGCCACAAAGAAATCCTGTCTCGAAAAACCAAAAAAAAAAAAAAAAAAAAAAAGTTAACTAATAAAAAATCATTTTTTTCAAATACATATTTACTAATGGAATTTTTCTGGGGCAGGGTGACTCCAATCTAGAGCTCAAGTTAGTGAGTATTCTCTTTTAGGATAGTTGTTAGAGCTGTTGATCTGATATCTGCACTGAGAGTCTGCAGTTCACATAGCTCATGTTTGCACGGTCATGTATGTAGCACTTGAAATACTAGTTGTGACTGTATTTTAGGTGTGGTGTACCTCATAGCTGAGTGAGCTCAGACATATGTGGATGGATGTGATTGCTCTCATAAAACTTTATGGATATTGACATTTGAATTTCGTGTAATTCTTATGTCATGAAATATGAAACCTTGTATTGTAAAGACCGTAGCTCTGTCTGGGAACATCGGGAAGACATTCTGGCATTACTCATTTTTAATTGTCGTCACAACTTTTTCAGGAACATTCCAGATGTCGCACCTGCTCCGAGTGATCAGAAACCATCTGTGTCAAAGTCTGGACGGAAAATTAGAGGAAGAGGCACAATTGTACGCATGCTGGAACTTTTTTCTTTCACACTGCTTACCTAAATAGTAGCTTGTAAAAATGTATCTTAAATATCTGAGGTTTAGTTTTAGATAAACTCTTTCTCTTGTCAGGCGGTGGTGGCTCATGCCTTTAATCCCAGCACTGGGAGGCAGAGGCAAGTAGACCTCTTGAGATCAAGGCCAACCTGGTCTACAAATCAAGTTCCAGGACAGCCAGAGCTACAAAGAAAAACCTATCTCCAAAAAAAAAAAAAAGTCCTCCTGTTTTAAGACATCTTTTTTATTTTGCATAATTTGGGAAGGTACTGCCTTTGCATACATTTACAGCTGTAGATGGATTTAATTATTCAGTGATGTACTACATGAAATATTGAGAAGTCTGAGTATATTGAATAATGGAGGCTAGAATGTGTTAGGACTGCAAAGGAAGCTATTCTGTAGGAATCCAGCTAAATGCCTTGCCTTTTTTGCCTCTCAGTGTCTTGTATTTGAAGTAATTCATACTATCCAGTTGATCCTTAAATTGGTACCTAGACTAGCCTTTTGCCTGGCTGTCGTATGTGGGGCAGTTTTAGAACAGTCATTACCCTCTCTTGTCTTTAAGCGCTATCACACACCTCCACGGTCAAGATCTCATTCTGAGTCTGAAGATGATGACAGCAGTGAGACTCCTCCTCACTGGAAGGAGGAGATGCAGAGACTGAGAACTTACAGGCCACCAAGTGGAGAAAAGTGGAGCAAAGGAGACAAGTAAGCACTTTGAATGTAAGCACAGCCTGGATGCAGAGCAGTAATGCTGGAGAGTCGCCTTCTGACGTCCACAGTCAAGATGGCTAAGGGAAAGGTCTAGAGCAGCACTGCTCTACCTAAGGCCAAGGGCTCTTCAGTCAGGTGCTGTTTCTCTGTGCTGAAAATCCGAGTAGACTCTGACCTGTAGAGCTGACCAGGTCTTAGACATCACTAGTAGATGTCTGACTTGTAGTCACAGGTACATGGATTAGTGAATAGAGCCTGCATCGCACAGGAGTTAATCTCTGACTCCAAGGACTGTTGGATAACAGTGGTGTTGGATAACAAATAATTGTCTGTTTCCAAAGGGGCCTGGCTCCAGAATAGCTAGTGGGGAAGTAATTCTTCATGGAAAAATTCTGGCTTCTTTGAAGGCATCTTAAGAGAATGGTTTTGAATTTAAAGAACAAGGATGAGGCAGGCAGCTGCTGCATAGAACTTGCATAGTGGTGCTGAGGACTCACTTGTGAGCCACGTCTTCCGTAAGATCGTGAAGCTTTTGTCAGTTTTTGTGTAATTGTGTTTGGATTCTGTTTTAAGTCAATAGGAGTTTAGGAGAAAGTATTAATTACCACAGTGAAGTAGAGAAAATGTAGTCGTCATTTCAGTGTTGAAGTAGGTTCCCACTAAGGACATTTCTGTGTTCGTGTGACTTACATAGTTAAAACAGTCTCTGAAAGAAAAAGAAAGCTGGTCACGTGGTGGTGGTGCGAGCCTTTAATCCCAGGCAAAGTCACAAGGCAGCTCAGAATTGTCTAACTCCAGTTCTAGGAGGTCTGACACCCTCACACAGATATACATGCGAAAACAAAACACTAGTGCACATAAAAATTTTAAAAAGTTAAAAAAAAAAAAAAGCCAACTTTTTAGCCAGGCCCGATGGCATTATAATACCAGTGTTTGGGAGGCTGAGTTCAACCTGGCTCACATAGTGAGTGCCAGGCCAGCCTGGGACACATAACAGGAACCTGTCTCTCCAAAAACAAAGATTAGGAAGCTAGCTTAGTTGGTAAAATGCTTGCCTTGTAAGCTTGAGAACTCGAATCTGTAAAAACAGTGTAACGGTAAGCACTTTATAATCCCAGTGCTGGGAGCTGGAGACAGGGGGATCCTTGGGGCTTGCTGGGCAGCAGTCTGCTGTATTAATGAATCCTAGACCAATGAAACACTCTCAAATAAATTAGTGTTCCTAAGAATGGCACCTGGGTGCCCTCTACACATGTGCACACACATACATGTGCACATGGATATTTTACAAAAGAAGAAATGTTTACGAAGACTCTAGAAAGTTTAGTCAGGACAAGGGACTTGGCTCTGTGGTAGAGTGCTTATTTAGCATGCATACAGTCCCTAGTGATGATGCCAGCACCACAGAGACAGATTGTCAAGTCTCAGCTCTGTCTCTGCAGAGACTCCTCAGCGAGGTTGTTCGGGAACCTGGTTTCACTCTTTCAGAAATTGCTCTTGGAAGGAGAAGGTTGTAAGCAGATGCTGTCGGGAGTCGTGTGTCTCCGTAGGACTCTGTTTAGTTGGTCTGGTTTTCCAATATTCTCAGTCTTTGATTCACTTAGAAACAGGAAGGATATTCTGTGAGGCTGATGATAGTTGTCATCTCTGGTACATGTTAAAGTGTTGAGATTGGACACTCTATTGTTAGTAAGAAGTGTGTTGTAAGACACAGAAAATGTTTGCAATAACTGCATGCATGCTATCCTGCCCGCTTACAGGCTAAGTGATCCCTGTTCAAGCCGATGGGATGAAAGAAGCTTGTCCCAGAGATCCAGATCATGGTCCTATAATGGATACTATTCGGATCTTAGTACAGCAAGACACTCTGATGGTCACCACAAGAAACGCAGAAAGGAAAAGAAGTTTAAGCATAAAAAAAAAGCTAAAAAGCAGAAGCATTGCAGAAGACACAGACAGACAAAGAAGAAAAGATTAGTAATGCCACCTGACTTGGAACCCTCAAGATCTGCCACCCACCGAACGAAGTCCTCTTGTGACAGAGGAAGGAGACCCCGTGCCTCCTCCTCCTCCTCTCTCCACTCCTCAGAGCGGGCCTGGTCTAGATCAGACAAGGACGACCGGAGTTCCTCAGCCCACTCCAGCAGAGACTCCTATAGATCCAAGTCTCATTCACCATTGGATTCTAGAGGGAGCTCTAGATCAAGGGCTGTGTCAAAGTCCTCATCGCATTCTCACGACAGATCCCAGTCCAGATCTAGTTCCAGGTCAGAACCCCGGAGGACAGCATCAAACTCACCAAAACAGCCTGCTCCGTTGAGTGAAAATAAGCCAGTTAAGGCAGAACCTTTAAGATCATCGATGCCACAGAATGGAAATGTGCTGGTACAGCCAGTGGCAGCAGAAAACATTCCTGTAATACCGTTGAGTGACAGCCCTCCCCCTTCTAGATGGAAGCCTGGGCAGAAGCCCTGGAAGCCCTCCTATGAGCGAATTCAGGAGATGAAGGCTAAAACAACTCACTTGCTGCCTGTTCAAAGTACATACAGTTTAACAAATATTAAAGAAACTGGGAGTTCATCATCCTATCACAAAAGAGAAAAAAATTCAGAAAGCGATGGGAGCGCTTATTCAAAGTACAGTGACAGAAGTTCTGGGAGCTCAGTAAGGTCAGGGGGCAAGTCTTCTAGGAGCCGGTCATACTCTAGGTCATACACAAGGTCAAGATCACAGAGTCCACGTACTTCACAATCACGATCTAGGTCTCCATCATCTAGGTCTCACTCACAAACGAAGTATAGTGATGGTTCCCACCGCAGCAGGTCATCTTCATACACTTCGGTCAGCAGTGATGGGGGAAGTCGAGCCACAAGGAGGACGTTTAGATCCCATGGGAAAAAAAGTATCACTTCAAATAAAAGACACCACAGCAGCTCAAAGAAGATACTTCACAGTAAATATGTCAAAGGCAGAGAGAAGTCTTCATGTCACAGAAAGTATAGTGAAAGTAGATCATCTGTGGATTATTCTTCGGACAGTGAACAGTCACATGTTGAGTTAGTGCACTCGGCCCTCGAGAAGGAGAAGCAGGGGAAAAGCAAAGAAGAAGGAAAGGGCAAGCCAGAATGGGAGAAGAGGCCTTTGAGAGAGAGTCTGTCTGATCACTCTAGAGATGGCAGTCGGTCCAAAGGGAAGAACTGTGCTGGGAGCAAATGGGACTCTGAATCAAACTCTGAACAAGATGTGACTAAGAGCAAGAAAAGTGATCCCCAGAGATGTTCTGATAAGGAGGAGGGCGAAGCCTCTTCCGACTCTGAGTCAGAAGTTGGCCAGAGTCACATCAAAGCTAAACCCCCAACAAGGCCTTCAGCAAACACTTCTCTGCCTGACAGTAATGGTGCCTGGAAGTCTAGGAGACCACAGTCTTCAGCTTCTGAGTCAGAGGGCTCCTGCTCCAACTTGGGAAATGTTAGAGCAGAGCCCCAGAAACAGAAATGCCCAAAGGATAGTCTTAAAGGGGATCACACAAAAAAAGTGAGAGAGAAATTGAAAGCCAAAAAAGACAAAAAACACAAGGCTCCAAAGCGGAAGCAAGCCTTTCACTGGCAGCCTCCACTGGAGTTTGGTGATGAGGAGGAGGAGGAGATGAATGGAAAGCAAGTTACACAGGAGCCAGAAGGAAAAAAGCACATCTCTGAGAAGTGTGAAACTGTGAACGACAGTATTCCAAAAATAGAGAAACCCTGTGATGAAGGCAGTGGTCCCAGTAACCCTAAGAAGGGTACTTCAGAGCACAACCCACTTGCGGAGGGGGATCGCCATCCCAGCTCTTGCCCTGCACCTCTGACAGTGGAGGAGAATACCACCAGCTCTCCTCCTGGCGCCCAGCACATTGAAGAGCGTGTCCCAGCTGGAGGGGTGGATGTGCTTCAGACAGATGACAACATGGAGATTTGTACCCCTGATAGGAGTTCCCCTGCAAAAGGAGAGGGGGTGTCCCCATTAGCAAACCGCAAGCTGGACAGCCCAGAGGGGAGCATTATTCCAGAGCAGGTTGAGCACATAGCACAGCCCAGAGCAGAAGGGAAACAAGAAAACATTGTGTCTAAGAGTAAAACCTCAAGTGAAGGTGGGAAACAGGACAGCTCTGCCAGTTTGGCCAGTCCTGTAGAAATTTCTGGAAAGAAGGAGGGGGCTGAGAAAAGCCAGATGAACCTCACAGATAAGTGGAAGCCATTGCAAGGTGTAGGAAATCTGATGCCTACTGCAGCCATGTCCAGTGCTCTGGATGTGAAGCCATTGGCTCCTGTTATTGAAGTGAAACCACAAGGCTTGAGAATAGAAATCAAAAGCAAAAATAAAGTTCGGCCCGGGTCTCTCTTTGATGAAGTAAGAAAGACGGCACGCTTAAACCGGAGGCCACGGAATCAAGAGAGTTCCAGTGATGAGCAGACACCTAGTCGGGATGGTAATAGCCAGTCCAGGAGTCCACACAGATCTCGAAGTAAATCTGAAACCAAATCTCGACACAGAACAAGGTCTGTCTCCTATAGTCACTCGAGAAGTCGATCCAGGAGTTCCACGTCATCTTACCGGTAAGAAGCCCCCTCTCTCCATGTCATTTAGCTCAGAAGAACAGAAGTATGATCACTGTTTCCAAATATCTGACATGGGAATAAGAAGCATTATCCCATATGACCAAAACCACAGATAGAGGACATAGATAGGAAGTGGGCATTTCAGGAGAAGAAATTTGCGCTCAGTTGAAAAGACCATTGTTACTGTTATCTGTAGTTTATCTCTTGGACAATGAAAGCTCTGTTGACATGACCACATTCAAAGGTGTGAAGGCACTGGCTTTCTTGCCCAGGTTGCCGTGCTTTTGCAAAGAATCTTTTGAGCAGAATCTGCAGGGCTTAGGGATTGTTGATCTAACCACCCTCTTACACAAGTAGAAGATAACATGCCATAGAGGCAACGTTGCTTGCTGTCCAGGGCATACATCTAAGTCAAGTTCTGTGATCATGTTCACATTTTCATCAGTTTTCTCTGGCATTTGTCATCAGGATAGACTGAAGAGCACAAAGAATGAGTGACAGCTAAGAAAGGAGGGACCATGGTAACAGGAAGCTAATAAGTAGTTACATTCATGAGCATATAAATATACCAACTGCAGTTTTTTGTGGCTTTTATTTCATTGTTTAAGCCATGGTGGCTTCTTCTGAACTGCTCCCTTTGCAGTGCATGACTCTGTCCACTGTGCAGAATTTGTAAGAGACTGCATTCTGGTTTGACTGCCCTCCTGCCCTCCTGTTCATCCTAACTGGGAGTGCACACGTTACATGCTTTCTCACTCATTTCCGTTGTAGATCAAGGAGCTACTCCAGAAGTCGGAGCAGAGGCTGGTACAGCAGAGGCCGGACCCGCAGCCGGAGCAGTTCCTATGGAAGTTTCCGTAGCCATAGGTAAGCTGTGTTCTTGCCCTGCTGTGTGGTTCCCCTCCTGGGACAGAGCAGGCAGCTGTAGCTCTGCCGTTGTTTCTCATCTAGCTGTGTGAGCTCTGGAACTCTTCCTGACTGTTCCTTCATCAGAGTGAGGCAAAGGCACAGAAGTATTGAGAGGCCATGCCCCTCCTGCCTCCTCCATATGTAGATCTTATTGAGGGTCACAAGCACGCTCACCTCTTGACTGATTGAGGGGTTAAAACAGGGTCACAGTGAGGGAACCAAAAGAAAAGTGTGTGCTAGGGCCAGGGCACACATTTTTACTGCCTAGCTGCTTCTCTCTCTGGCCTTGAGATATTTCCTGCTGTGACTACTGACATAAATGGCCCTTTTCCCTTCCTACCCATCCGAGAACTACATAAAGCTTTATGAAATACAGAGGTTTTAAAAGGAAAATCCAACATACTTGTGGTTAAAACAAAAGAAAGAGTTAAAAGATTTCACTGTATTTTCACTTTGATGGGCAAAGATGTCTCAATTGTTAATGTGCCCTGATGCACAAGGTGACAGTCCCTCCTGTGGTTCATACTAGGACATCCAGCAGGAGCAGGTCCAGGAGCAGCTCCTATGACCCCCACAGTCGCTCCAGGTAAGTGGCAGTGGGAGGCCCCAGCATGCTTGGGGGATGGAGTTGGAGCTGGCTGGTTGTGCTTGGATTTGATCCCAGGGCCTAGGTGCAGTACACAGCATGTTTTCTGCCATTAAGCTTACCTCCCCAGCCTAATGTTGAATTTTTTAATTAAATAACTTAAAATCATATGTTTATTTTCTGAAATCACTCTTTAAAAATGAGATGTCTGTGACCCCACTGGGCAACAGTATCAAATTGTGATAGCAGGTGCTTGTTGCATATAATTGCCTAATAAGATCCAGAATCCCAGACAAACTAACTCAGTGTTAATTTTGTGATATTTTTCAATGCAGAAAAGAAATTAACATTTTTCTCTTTAACATGGTAAGTCCAAATGGGGGCAATTGCTAGATGTTTCTAGAACTTCTTATGCAACTGTCCTCACACTTCCATAGAGTGCCCGTGTGAGCTGACAGCCCTAAAAAGGAGACTTTCCATATTTGAGTGAGAAAATTTAATGTGTGTTATTTCTGTTTAAGTAGATCCTACACTTATGATAGCTACTACAGCCGGAGTCGCAGCCACAGCCGCAGCCAGAGGAGTGACAGTTACCATCGAGGGAGAAGTTACAACAGGCGGTCCAGGTGGGTCCTGCTCTCGACACTGCAGTGACTGCACGCTTGGTGCAGTGGACACTTGTCTCCCTGAATTTCATTGGCCTACAGACAGCTATTAAATAGGGCTTTGGTGCTGAGTTGTCAGGTCATAGTTACTATTTTATAGTTGAAATTAAAATGGATTTTCAAATGTTTATATACTTTGGAGCAAGCTTTTTTTTTTTTTTTTTTTTTTTGGAGTAAGGAGAAGACCAAATCATGGGTCACTTCTGAAAGTCAGGTTAATATACTAGAATAGGCAGGGGTTTTTTGTTTTGTTTTGTTTTTCAGACAGCGTTTCTCTGTGTAGCCCTGTCTGTCCTGGGATTAGAGGTGTGTACTGCCACTGCCCAGCCAGTTTGTCATTTTATTAAATTAATCATAATTATTTGTTTCAGCAGCAGGGTTGAGGTTTATATCATATCATTTATTTAATAAGATGTAAACCTTTATAACCACTTTTGTATTGTCCCTTGCTGGTGGCTGTGGTCACCCTCTCCCATCCATTGCAACCCCAGAAACCCTTCTACAGACAGGTGCATGTGGCTGCTTTCTTGCTTGAAATGTTGAAGGGATGCCAGCTGTCTTGCGCAGGTCCAGATGCCTTAGCACTCACTGTACATGAACCCCTCCACTTACCAGCTCCAATTCCTACTCCATCCTATAATGTTCTAGAACCTTCTGCCCAGAAACACAAGTGCCATCTCCATCATTTCCTTTTCTGTGTGTCTTAAAGTGATCATGTAACCACCCCCAAACCCCCTGCTTCCCAGAAGGTCTCCCCTGCAGCCCATTGCCCTGGGAACCTCCCACCTCCATCCCAGTGCTAACTCTGAGGCACATTTTTTCCCTGAATGTACCTCTGGGGTTCTCAGTGTACTCACTTACCTGTCTACTGTCCTACACTCTCCTTGAGCTGCTCCTTTGTGGTGGGATGACGCCTGCATGACATGCTAACCACCTTTCAGAAACCACTCCGTTAACTCAATGATGACCACAGCCAAGCCCTCACTTCTGTAGTGAGAGTGCCTTTAACCCTTCCTGCTTCAGTCTAACCTAGTGTTGACATTCACCGTGGTAAAATAGAAAAGTAGTTTGCTCAATTTTATGAATGGATTTCAGGTAAATTTAAAAATAAAACCTCACTATTGTAGTCTATATTACCTTAACCATTTGCCATTTAAAACCAAAGTATTGCCATAGGTAGAACCCAAAGAATAGGAGTTAAAGGCTTTTGTATTGTTTGGTTCTGTTCCACAGGAGCGGTAGATCCTATGGCTCGGACAGCGAAAGTGACAGAAGTTACTCTCGTCACCGGAGCCCCAGCGAGAGCAGCAGATACAGCTGAGGCCTCCTTGTACAGAGACTGTATCTTAACTGTAAATACCTGGTAACTTAAAGCTGGAGAAACTGGATGGCCGTCTGTTGTGTGTCAGTATTAGAGCTCAAATCCAACAGTGGATATTTCTTGTCACTTATTTACATGTGTGCAGAAAAATTTAAAAGTACAGATGTCAACTACAAATATTTTTATGCCCCATTTTACAATAGACAACTATGGAATTTTCATTTTCTTGAATCAAGAACTGGTGGAATTGACGTAGGTATCATTTGCAGTGTTACTTTAGATGGAATGTTTTTGTAGCTCACACAGTCCATAGAATTCAGGTCAGTGCTTTCAGGTTTTAGCATCCATGCTGCCAAACAGAATTGTGGAGAGCTGTCACAGCTACACGTTCCTATGTCCCCATGCTGGTTATAGTCTTGTTTGTGTGTGCTGTCAAATCAGGCCATCCACATCGTATTGACTATGGCCAGTCGTGCAGGGTGGTGGCTCATGCTACCGTGTCTGCCTTTCCACAGAGACTGCCACCTCGGTGCTTGGTGCCTTTGGTTCCTCCTGTACCTTACTTCATACACTACGTGTCCTGATGCCAGAAGATAGAATCATGACTTTTTTTTTTTAATTCACTGGCACCAAAAATTACTTCTTCTGAGCTGGGCTCACTGTGAGTGTAGGGCTTCCCAACAGTTATGTGGTGGCAGTCTCTTGGACAGAGCCTGCACGGTTGGCCATCTTGTTTTGCACCCGTGTGCTAGAAGAGCCAACTGGAGAGTGGACTTTGAGAAGCAGCTCCACAGTCTTTAGTTAGCACACCCAGAGACTTTAGCAACAACCAGCCTTTCCCTATTGTGTTGAGACCCCCACTGACTCTGTGAAGCCCTGCCTGACCAGAGGAAACCCAGGACAAGATTTGGGGGCAGAAGGATCACAAGCTGCTGCACAGAGAGATGTTCCTGTGGCTTTGCGTGGTTCCTCCAAAAATAATTTAACCTGTAAAAACTAGTTTGAGTTTGTTTTACTCTTTACTTTGCATTCTTTCCCCAAGTGTACTTAATCACCTTAGTGCCGGTTTAATCCTGTTCACAGAAAGAATTCCTGTTGTCCATACCATCCAATCCCAGGCCTTGCTGGTGAATTTGGCAAGAAGATTCCTGGCCTGATGGAGGGAGGCACTGAATTATGAAAATGGTCTTCCAGGGCATGTGGCTCAGTGTACTAGCATGTGCTTGACATGTAATGACGCTCTGGGGTCAGTGACCAGCACTCCAAAACTAAATCATGCTGTCACTCTTAGGAGGTGGCCAGCGTTGTTCAACATGCCAGTAAGTGTAAGTTCATCAGGAGACAGAGTAACATCAGCAGTCAGTGCTTGGCTAGTGAAAGTTAAACATGTGGTTTATAGTGGGATTTTTTTCTAAAAGTTTCCTACGAAAAAGGATGTTTGAATGTACTAGGTTGGTGGGAAGAATGCATTCAGAACCCAAACAAACTGCCAAATGGAGTTAGTAAGGAAGGGTCACTGTTGAGCAATGTCATATTGTTTTGTAGCTGTGTGACAAACTCCAAGTCCCACAGCCTAGACCAGTGCCCGGGCACCATTGATTCTCAACTTGAGGTACAGCCATGGCTAGGCATGGTGGGGCTGACTTCACTGCTCAGAGTCTCAGGACTGTGGCTGAGAGCTGGAAGGCGCATCCCTCATGAAGACTCTGAAAAGGACTAACTTTCTTGTGGGCTCCTTTGAGGCTGCCCACATCCCTGCCCCAGGCCTTGCTGTCTTCAGCCAGCAGGGATCCTTTGTCTTTCTTCAAAACTTCTGCCTTCCTCCTGTGTAAAGGGTCCATATGACTAGATCAAACCAGATCAGAGATCAGTCTCCATCTGCAGTCCAGTGGTCAAAGGAGTTGTGGGCATTGGCAGGTTCTGGGGGTTGGCATGGGAAGGGGCAGGGCATGCCACCTACTGCCGCCACGGACAGGGCTTAACCTATCCAGGCAGCTCTCATCTTCAGCAGTGTGGGCCTGGCTGTTTACATTCAAGTGAACTACAAAAATGGCTTTTCTTCCTAACCAGAATCATTCTGTATTTTTGAAGTTATTTTTTTAATAAAATTGAATTACGTTGTGTAATGTGCTTAATAGAAAATGCTTTATTGGACAGTTTTGTAACATCCTGTTTACTGCAAATGGCATAGTTGATATTGTCAAAAATGTAGAAAAGACTTTTGTACATACTAGCAGTGTCTAATTTGTATATACATCGATTTAATTTCCCTACAACTCAAAAAGGATCTTGTAGAAATGAAAATACATGCTAACTTTGAGTCTGTGCCGACTGGTCTTTGCTTGCTTGGACTCCATAATCAGTTTCTGATACAGCAGGTAAAGAGACTTCTCTATGGCAGGTTTGTGGTACAGGAGTGGAGCCAGGGAAAGCCTGGCAGAAATAGGTTTCTCAGGTGGGGTGCAGCTCCATGTTCCTCTACTTAGGAGCAGAGTCGCCTGACTGCAGTGCCCATCATCACCCACCTCCTGAGGGAGGCCACATTCAAGTGAGGATCTGCCAGGCAGGCAACCTGACTTCTTGTTTGCAGATACTGAGTTTTCTATATAGTCTTTCCAACTTGGGTGCTTTCCTTTACAATGTAAAGAACATGCCAGGGATGGTTGTCCATACCTTTCACCCCCAGCGTTCAGAGCAGGCAGATCTGTGTGAGCCCAAGGACTGAACAGTAAGACTGTCAAAAAAAAAAAAAAATACATTAAGTCAAATTTAAAATTAGCTAGGTTTGGAAGATGGAGACAGGAGGATCCATGAACTGATAGCCAACCCGAGCTTCATGAGACCCAGTTCCACCCTCCAAAGAGACGGGGAGGATACTTGGAACTTTATTCTCATCTGGTGGACAGTACTGGGGCATTGCCAGAGGCCCTGGTCCCACCCTCTGAATTAGCTAGGTATTGGCTCTCCCCATTGTCCTGTGGGGATATGGAGGGGGTGAAGAGCATGGACCCTGCTTCCAGAGGATCCAGGTTCCGTTTCCAGCACCCACATAGCAGCTCAGCTGTATGACACCCTCACATAGGCATACATGCAAACAGCACACCCATAAATTTTAATCTTAAAAAAAGTTGGGGCAGGTCAGGTTGTCTTGACGGAGGCGGAAATTATTGGTTACTGCAGTCCCTCAGAAACTGGAGGTGTGGGGGAGAGAGCTCAGCACCCTGGAATCCCCTGCAGACCACAGCAGACTGCACTCCTCTGAGGTCTGGGCCACCCTTGCCATGGCTGCTTCCTCCCTGTCTCAGAACAGCTTGGTGCCCTGGCTCTTTTCCTCAGCATCACACCACTGGCACGCAGTGAGACCCAACTCCACAGCCTGGACACCAAGAAGTGGAAAGGGCCAGGCCTATGCCTATGTCCACTGAGCCTCCGCTCTGGATCTCTGCTCCCCACATGACAGTGACGAGATTGGGAGAACCCCTGTCCCCAGCTGATCCCAGGGGGGCAAGTGTAAAGAAGTGGTGGAGCCTTTCTGCCCTGGCCTGGAGAGGAGCCTGCCTCCTACTGGCTGTGTCCAGGGAGCGCTGTACAGGAACCGCAGCTGTGGTGAACAGCCCTTGACGTGGCCGCTGCAGCTCCTCACTAGTTTCCCGGGGTTGTGCAGGACTAGGGTCTCTGGCAGCCTTCTAGAAGCTAGCAGGGAGGCACTCTCTGAGAGAGTTGGTGTGGGAAAAGGAACCCGATGGTTTGCATTAGGCTCCCACGCTGTGGCGCATTAGTGCTGGACTCTGCAGCCAGAGCTCAGGCAGATGGAGGAGGCCCCACTGTACAGGCAGGCCGCTGCGGCCCTCCTCCAGCCTGCACCACCCCAGGTACTACCTCACCCGCGTTTCCATGTTATCTGGTGAGCAAAGGGAACCCCAAGCAGTTTGGGGCTGTCTCCTTGCTTTCAGAAGTGAAGTTTGAACTGGAGTCACCCAGCTTCCGGGAGGGCAGTCTAAAGCACCGGCCTCTGTCCCATGCTGGTGAGTGCTCCAGCCCTATTCACCAATAGAACTTTGAGGTTGCCTTGCCCCTCCAGGAAGTAGAGTGCACCTATTCTCAGGGCTCACTCCAGGCCTCTCCTCCAGATGGACACCTGCACCCCACCTCCTGACCACGCATTTCTGCAACCAATGACCAGGGTGTCCTGGATTCCTCGGTCAGAGTTCAGACTCTGCTCTGGGACAGCTGAGGCCTGGGGAGTTGGGGTGGGCCAAGACCATCACCCAAAGGGCCAGCATCCTTCCTGTGGTTAGGGTGGCCACGACACCCAGATTCCAGCCTCCTGGCACAGGGTTCTTCTGTCTGCACGCCTAGTCTCCCTGTGGGACCCTGTCCTTGTCCACCCAGTGGGTAGATAACCTTTCCCTTCCCCCATTGCAGGTCAGTGAAGCGATCCAGAGTCAGAAGAGAAATGGTGGTAACTGGCCTTTCTAGCTTTAGCCTAGAACCCGGGGAGCACAGTCGGGCATCTTATGCCTTCGTCCAGATGCGGAGCTGCAAGCAGCTCGCTCTCCCAGCTACAGGGCATGTCCTGTTCAGATAGAGGAAGGGGCCTTCCTCTGTCCCCACCTGACTCAGCTTCCCCAGCTCAGGGGTAGCCAGCCCAGTGTCCTCGTGGGAGAGCCTTGCATTCTTAGGGGACAGACCCTCAACTATTTGATGACACCTATCTGGCTCTAAAGAGCGAGCCACAGCACCCTGCCCACCATGAGGAAGGTATATACCCAGGGAGGCCGTGGGGAGTGGAGTGGAGAGATCGGGCTGGGTGAGTGACTCGGCTCAACAGCGGCCGCTGGGTAGGGGTGCGGGGCGTCCGAAGGAGAGAGAGACCACGGTGGTAGCCCGTGGTCCCGCCCTGCCTCCGCTCAGCCTGGCAGCGTTCCTTCGCAGCCTCCTGCCAGCACAGCCAGCCCCCTGCCCCCACCGAGCCGGTGCCAGAGCAGCATTCCGCAAGCCGGGCTGCATCTCCCCAGCGGAGGCTGCGCGGAGAGGCCACTCGGCCGGGCCTGGGCCTCCGGCCTCCCACCCGGCTGTCCCGGGCAGGTCATCTGAAAGGCTTTTCTCTCTGCGGCGGCGACTCGGAGGCCTTGGGCAGCCAAAGGCCACCAGGTAGGTCCCAGAGGCGCAGAGCAAAACGCGTGGGAGGCCGGAGCAGCTGGGGACCCCAGACTCACCCCCAAGTCGGAGCAGCCGGGGCCACAGGGGGCGGGTTGTGAGCGTGGCTGGGGTGCGGGGCTCGGGCAACGGAGCAGGTGGGTCGGGGGCTGGCTCGCCCAGCTCAGTGACCTCACGCCTACCCTGGCCCCGCCCCCGTGGAGCAGCGGGAGGACACACGGGTTAGGCTCCGGGACGAACTTCCCCGCAGAGAGGGGCTCAGAGAGGGAGGGTGGGGTCGCGTGGTTCAAACGCTCCCAGGTCGGCTGTCCGCCCGGCCCGGAGAACCCCGAGGCTCTCCGCAGGGCAGCCGCATCGGGACGGCGCGCACCACGCGCGTCCGCGCCCCTAGCCCGCACGCAGGGCGGCCTGGCCCTTTAAGCGTCCAGACGGCGGCCCCAGCTGACGCGCGGGCTCCAATCGGCGCCCCGCGCCCCCCGCCCGTCGCGCCCGAGGCTCCCGGGCCGCAGCTGCTCGGCCGGGACTCGCCGCGGCCCTGCGCCTCCGCCCGCTTGCCCGCCCGCCCGGCCGCGCCCCCGGGGCCATGGTCGCGGGGGCGGCCCCCAGCGCGGCGCTTCATGGGGCGGCCCGGGCCCGGGCCCGGCCGCCGGGGGCAGCGCGATCCTGCGGGGCCCTGTGAGCTCCCAGCGCCGCGGCACCATGGTACGCAGGGGCCTGCCTGTCCCCCCGCTTATCCGCCCACCTGCGAGCGCCGCCTTTCGGAGCGCACGGTCCCGCCGGACCCGGTACGGGGGCTGGAGCGACCTGACCCCTCCCCCGAGGGTCCTCGACCCTGTCTACTGGGTGTCCGCAGGCCGGGAGGGCGGCGCGGTGGCGCGGCAAGGGGGTGAAATTCCTGGGGTGGGGGGTGCAGGAGCGAAAGGCCGAGCTCTTTGCGGCGCGCGGGCGGAGGGGGGCTCTTCTCTGAGCCCGGACGGCGCCGCCCCGGGGCTGGCAATGGGGGAGGGGGTAAAGGGGGAGTCGGATTCCCGCCCAGGCCTTGGGCCACGTGGGCGCTGCAGCCGCCCTGCTGGAGATCGGGACGGCTCCGCACCGAGGGCGGGGGGCGCCCACAGCTGGAGTGGAAACTCCTGTGTGACCTTGGGCCGGTCCCCTGCTGTCTCTGAGCCAGGCCTCTCCAAAGAAGGCATCCAGAAGTCACAAGCCCGTACCCCCGCTCGGCCTGAGCTCTCCCCCCGCTGCCCGGGGAGGACCGGATGGCTTGACTGTCCCCAGGGTTCACCAGATGGCCCTCAGGACTCAGAAGCTTGGTGGCCTCTGCAGGTGTCCCCCTGGGGGAAGGGCAGCTGCTGGAGCTGGCAGCATAGCCAGGTGGAGAGAGGCCTCCTCAGCTTCAGGGAGCAGAAGCATCCGGCCAGAGACCCACAGCTGGTGGCACTGAGTGGGAGGGGCTGGGCCCGCAGCTGGGCCCGGCCACTTGGCTGGCAGTGTTAGGCTGGGAAGTGGCTTTGGAAATGCATGGGTTCCTGCCAGGCTCAGGTGCCCGCAGGTGGGCCCTGGCAGGGTTGGGGGGGTGAGGAGCTCTGTAAGGAAGAAGAGGGGTCCCAGGCGTGGGGTGTGTGGTATGCAGGCTTTTCCCACCACCATCCAACCCCCCAGTAGTGCAGACACTGGTCACCTGCAGGTGCGGTGACTGGGAACGGTGTGGGGACCGTGTTTGGCTGGTTCCCAGACCCCACTCTCCCAGCCCACCTCACTCTCAGAACTCACTCTGCCATCTAGACAGTGCCCCAGCCGGAAGGAAGGGGTACCCAAGCAGAGCTGGAGGGCCACAGCTCCAGGAGGCAATGCCTCTTGGGGCCTCAGTTTCTCCATCTGTGTGGCAGGAATTGGTCCCAGAGGGTGAATCAGAGTGATTCAGAGGAGAAAGACGGATGGGCGGAGCTCCATGCCACGTCCCAGCTAGATGGGCCAGCAGTTCTGGGGTAGAGGCAAAGATGGGTGGCTCTTGGGTGGTGGAAGGGACGTGAGGAAGGTGGTAGCCTTGTCGGCAGAGCTGAGGGCAGAGAGTCGGTATGTCCTGGGCTGCTCTCTGGAAGGGCACGGGCTCAAGACTCCCTGAGCTCTCCCCTAGCCGGCTTCTGACAAGGGAGCTCAGACCTGGTCCTTCCTATCTGGCCCACCCACTACTGACAGGAGAACCGACTGACCGGGTCCTTGGACCTCTGAGGAAGAGGTAGTGGGCTTATGTCCCCCACTGGGGCATGTCGGCACTCGGACATAGCAAGCTTTTATCTTGCCAGGCAGAGCCTGAGCAGTCGCCAATGCTGGCCTGTGTGGGCCTGGACTGGCCAGTGTCGTGTGCTGAGCCCCAGGCCCTAAGCAAGGGATAAGACCGGCCATCTCTGTCACCCAGCTTGTGGGAACTCTCTGGCAGTCTGATCTAGTGGTCTTTAAGGTCCCTAGGGCTCTTCAATATGGCCTCCAAGACAGTGCCATCTTGGAGCAGCTAGGCCTGGGCATCACCCCAGCCATGCTGAGGTGTCCTGTTGGGAGTGTGGTAAACACAGCCCACCCTCCCCCGAAGACCCTGGGTGCAAGGGCCAGGGTGGGAGGAATGATGGGCTAGGCCTGAACGTGCGTTCCCCCAGATGCAGCCTGGGCGCTGTGGCAGAAGCTGAATTTCCAGCAGCTCATCATTGAGCAAGCTCTTTTCTGTCAGTGTGGTGAGATGGTCAGGGCACACGGAGGACACAATAAATGCTGACCCTGGGGTGACCCCCTAGTCCTCCTCCCCAAAAGCCCCACCTGTCTGGACAGGTGGTTCACACGGCCCCTGTCCCTTCCCTTCTCTGTGTGGCCGTCCTGTGTGTACAGAAGAGCTAAGAGAGGAGGCCCAGAGTGGCCAGCTGGGCACAGGTCCCAGGACCCTGTAGCCCCAGGAGCAGCTGTCCCTCTGGCATCCCCTACTATGAATGAAGATCATTTCTTCCGATAGCACCTCCCACGCCCTGGGCAGGGGCGGGCAGTGGCTGGTCCTTACCTTCCTGTGTCCTGGCCCACAGTTGCTGGTTGAGAAGACTACAGACTCCCCGGCGGCAGAGTTCTCGCTGGTGGAGGACGTGGCCCTGCACTTCGCCTGCTTGATGGGCCGCCTGAATGAGCAGCGCCTCTTCCAGCCGGACCTGTGCGACGTGGACCTGGTGCTGGTGCCCCAGCGTAGCGTGTTCCCCGCGCACAAGGGGGTGCTGGCTGCCTACAGTCAGTTCTTCCATTCGCTCTTCACGCAGAACAAGCAGCTGCAGCGGGTCGAGCTGTCTCTCGAGGCGCTGGCGCCCAGCGGCCTGCAGCAGATCCTGAACTTCATATATACGTCCAAGCTGCTGGTGAACGCGGCCAACGTGCACGAGGTACTCAGCGCGGCCTCGCTGCTGCAGATGGCGGACATCGCAGCCTCCTGCCAGGAGCTGCTGGATGCTCGGTCCCTGGCGCCCTCGGGCCCTGTGGCCCTGGCGCAGCCAGCTGCCAGCTGTGCCCCAGTGCCTCCGCCGCCCTACTACTGTGACATCAAGCAGGAGGCAGATACCCCCGGCCTACCGAAGATCTACGCCCGAGAAGGCCCTGACCCCTACTCTGTGCGTGTGGAGGACGGGGCAGGGACCACTGGGGACTCTGCTGCTCCAGGGCCAGCACAACCACTGCTCTTCAAGGAGGAAAAGGAAGGGACCCCTGAGGAGGCCCAGCCGCCTGGTAGCCTGTGCAAGCTAGAAAGTGGAGAGGGACTGGAGCGGGAATTGGGTGCCTCGGGCACCTATGGGCGCCAGGAGCAGTCTCAAATCATTGTGGAGGTGAACCTCAATAACCAAACCCTGCATGTGTCCACTGGGCCTGAGGGCAAACCGGGCTCTGGAGCCACCGTGGTGCTGGGCCAGGAGGATGGGATGCAGGAACATTCAGAAGAAGAGGAGGAGGAAGGAGGAGGTAGTGGAGGGGGAGAGGAGGAGGAGGAAGAGGAGGAGGAAGAAGAGGGAGGCAGCCAGGGAGAGGAGGAAGATGAGGAAGGGCCCAGTGAGCAGGAGGATGACGACGAAGCCGATGGACCCAGTGAGCAGGATGCAGAGAGTTCGGAGGAGGAGGGGGAGACTGAGAGCAGGCAGGACCCTGCGGGTGCAGCAGGGTGTCAAGGTGGCCAGGTGGACCCTCCGCTGCACAGCAGAATGTCCACACGGTCCCGGGGGCAAAACGCTCAGCGCCGAGCTACCCCCGAGCCGGAGGAGGCTGGGCGCAGAGGCGGGAAGAAGCCCAAGGCCTCGGGAGCTGTTCCTGCCACCCAGGCAGCCGACGGACTGGGGGCCAAGGTGAAGCTGGAGGAGAAACAGCAGCACCCATGCCAGAAGTGCCCCCGGGTCTTCAACAACCGCTGGTACCTGGAGAAGCACATGAACGTGACGCACAGTCGCATGCAGATCTGCGGCCAGTGCGGGAAACGCTTCCTGCTGGAGAGTGAGCTGCAGCTGCATCGGCAGACGGACTGCGAGCGCAACATCCAGGTGAGATGCTGCCCAGACAGTGCCCAGGACCTGGAGCTGCATGGATGCATGAGGTCAGGGGGACTGTGGGAACCGGGGAGAACGTGTCTTTTAACACATCTCTAGGGCCCAGAGCTGCCCGTGCAGGTACATCTGTTGTATGTTACACCAGAGTGTGCACAAAAGGGAAGGGGCTTGCCCAGAGGGGCTGCCACCCTTGACTCCCCCCAGAGTCACTGCGTAGAGCAGTGGCCCATGGGGGAGGGGGAAACGACCCCTGTGTTCAACTCTGTGGAGGTTCCAGCTCCCTGGAGAAAAAAGACTGGATGAAAATGTTGGAAAGAAGTGTGCGTGCATGCGTGCGTGTGTGTGTGTGTGTGTGTGTGTGTGTGTGTGTGTGTGGTGGTGTTGGGGTGGCTGCCTGGTCTGCATCTGTCTGAACACACCCCAGCATGTGTGTGCGCATACACACATGCGCGCACACACAGCCAGCTAATTTTCTGGCCCGAGAGAAAAAAAATGGCCACAGGTAGGCGGGTGTTAATTACCTGAACTAATTGCTAGTTGTGATGCCAGTGGGGAAGGTGTGGCCTGGTGACCTGCCCATCCCCCCACTCTGCACCTGTTGCCCGCCCCGCGGCTGTTTCTCAGCAATCCCTTCTGCCACCCCAAGGGGATGAAGCCTTTACTCCTTCCTGCCAAGTCTGTGCCCCCTCCCCCCCCCCCCCCCCCCCGCCTCTGGGGCTACTGCTGGGTTGAGCAGAGTCCAGGAGAGCTACCCTCAGCCCATCCACCCTTCGCTGCTCCAGGAAGCCCTAGTACCCTCTGCAGCCTGTAGAGCCCGCACTAACAAGGCCCCATAGGGTCCCCCACCAACCAGCACAGCTACCACACTTGACATAGTCTACAGCCTCTTGCCTGAGCAGCAAAGCCTGGAAACTGGAAATGGCACCCAGACAGCTACGTGGATGGGTCCTGGGGGGAGTCAACCCAGCTTCAGGACATCAGGTCTGGGCCATCTCACCAGTGCTCTACAGATGGGGAAACGGAGGCTGTAGAGGAGCCGAAGCTAGCTCCAGCTCATACCCAAAGTTCTGCTCCTCTTCCATAGTGCGTAACGTGTGGCAAAGCCTTCAAGAAGCTCTGGTCCCTGCACGAGCACAACAAGATCGTGCATGGCTACGCGGAGAAGAAGTTCTCCTGCGAGATCTGCGAGAAGAAGTTCTACACCATGGCACATGTGCGCAAACACATGGTTGGTGAGTCCCTGCCGCCCGCGTGGGCAGAGGATGGGCCAGCCGCTGACTGTCAGAAAGGCTTGCATCCAGGTGACGGGAAGGTTGGGGAAGCGACGCACAGGCGGGCAGTTTGCCCCGATAAGCTGGCACACGGCTGGCCAGGCTGTGGACCCTGGTATGGAAAGGGGCAAGCTTTTCCTGAATTACACGATTCCATGTGGGCTGGCACGGTCCTGTCTCGGTGTGACAGCCACTAGGCCTGTCTCTCATGCTTCCTCTTGGCCCTCACAGGGCTTCAGGCTTCTCTTAAGTGTCACCTTCCCCAGGGCTCACGCCTGGACACAGTAAGGAGGCCTTCCCAAGTGTGATAGCCACACCCATGCTCAGGCAGGGCTGCACATCTTCAGGTGGGCCCTGCTGCGTCTGGAGTTCCTGTGTTCACCTTTTCTCACCTGGGCTCCAAGCTCCAGAGAGGAGGAGTGATCATCCAGACAAATGACCCCGCAGACACGGGAGAGTGTCAACTGGATGGGACTGGGACCCTGGGGTCTAGGTCTTGGCCAGCAGCATGCTGGGTAACCAGATTGGTAATCTGAGCTGGGCGGGCTGTCTCCAGATGTGTTCTTCATTGGCCTTCAGTGGCCCTGGGCCCAAGGCCGAGGCCCTCACCTTGGGTGTGCTGTTGAGTTCAGTACCGCCCCTTCCCCAAAGAAAGTGGGTGCGGGACTGCCAGAGGGCAGGTCTGGAAATGGGGGTTCAGGTAGGTGCCCTGGAGAAGTGACAGCTGGTGCCCACCCGCAGCCCACACCAAGGACATGCCCTTCACCTGTGAGACCTGCGGGAAGTCCTTCAAGCGCAGTATGTCTCTCAAGGTGCACTCGCTGCAGCATTCCGGGGAGAAGCCTTTCCGCTGTGAGGTGAGCTCTGCTTCCTGCTGGCTGTGGGGTCCCCTTGGACAGGGAGGGAGGGAGCCAGGGGTCTGGGTTGGCGCACGGCCTGTAATCCCCGCACTGGAGAGTGGAGGCTGCCTGAGTAGGAAGTCAAGATCAATGTCAGTCATAGAATGAGCTTGGGGGCAGACGAACAAACCAAAGGGAAGACCGGGGACAGCCAGTCAGGAAGACGCAGGTGTCAGAATCTGAGCTTCGGTCCAGGGGGTTTGTTTGTTTGCTTTGTTGTTTTTATTACATTAAAGATGGGCATGGAGAAACATGCTCGTAATTCAGTGTTGGGGAGGCGGAGACAGGTGGGTGCCTGGAGCTCACTGGCCAATCAGCACAGCCTGAAAAAGTCCAGACCAGTGAGAGACCCTGTCTCATAAGCAGCAAAGGTGGAGGGCCCGAGGAAACATCAGAAATTGGCCACACGGGTCCATCTATCAGTGTGGAGACACGCACACACATGTTCACACATGCACACATGGAGTTTCAGGTTGGGTGAGCCAGGGTCCATCTTATCAGTGTGTGGGCGCGCACACACACACACACACACACACACAGTTCCGGGTTGGGGGAGCCAGGGCGAGGATGTCTGCAGCTCTTCCCCTCCCCACAGAACTGCAATGAACGCTTCCAGTACAAGTACCAGCTGCGCTCACACATGAGCATCCACATCGGTCACAAGCAGTTCATGTGCCAGTGGTGCGGCAAGGACTTCAACATGAAGCAGTACTTTGATGAGCACATGAAGACACACACAGGTGCGTGCCCTCCCCCCAGGCCTCAGTCCCCGAGTTGGGCGGGATGGGGTGCCAGGGGAGCTGGGGCTGGCCGTAACACTCCTGCCGCCCCTCCAACCACAGGGGAGAAGCCATACATCTGTGAGATCTGTGGCAAGAGCTTCACCAGCCGGCCCAACATGAAGCGGCACCGGCGAACGCACACGGGAGAGAAGCCCTACCCGTGCGACGTGTGTGGCCAGCGCTTCCGCTTCTCCAACATGCTGAAGGCACACAAGGAGAAATGTTTCCGTGTCAGCCACCCACTGCCCAGCGACCCCGCCACCCTGCCCACCGCACACCTGCAGCCCACAGCCCCCCTCTTCCCCACTGCAGCTCCCAGGCTGGACACCAACTGACACCCAGCACAGGCCCTCCTGGCCAGGGACAGCAGAAACACAGGCTGGGGGCTGTGCTGCGGCTGGATACCCCTGGTGCATGCTGGGAGCCCCCTTCTGCAGCTCTTTGCAAGTTCTACTCTCCTTATCTTTGGGAGTAAAGGAACAGAGGGGGACTGGTTGGCCACACCCCTCCAGGTGAGGGGTGCTAGCGGCAGCAGATGCAGGCCAGGAGCCAGGCAGGGCCTGGGTCAGCCTCACCTGCTCAACCCAGCTTCCCTGTGCCCCTAACTTACTCCCTAGGATGGGAGGGTTTGGGGAGAATTTGGGTGTACCCCTGTTGAAGGAGTCGTAGACCAGACCCCCCCCCCAGGAGGCCTGTAGCCAGGGAGGCCTGGCAGGGTAGGGAAGAGGCAGGAGATAAAGGCCGCAGACCCCCTCTGTGTGGTGGAGTGGGGCAGGTGGGGGCTGGCCCCCATGGATTCCTTTTCCTGGTCACATCCCTGCCAGGCAGGTTCAGGGATCCTCAGCCTGTGCTGGACTTTTAAAGAGCCCCAAATCCTGGAAGGAACCTCTCCAGGTGCTGGGGACCAAGCCTTCAGGGGGTGGAGAAGCTAAATCCCCAGCCCCAGCTTCCAGGGGTCCTGCAGGAGAATGAGATGCCAGGGGTGGGCCCTCCAGGAGCCTCAGGCAAGCAGTTCAGGGTTTCACGGTGCTATCTGTGGGTCAAGGGACAGGGAGCTGTCTACAGGGCACCCCTGTCCCTTACCAGCCTGCCTGGCTGGAATCTCCCACCAGGAGACACGTGCATCTGTGTCTGCTCCCCAGAGGTCCACATGAGGCCTCTCTTCTCCTGGGGCCTCTGGCTGGCTCCTGGTCCCTCCTGCACTCCGCACTGTCTGGTGTGCCGCAGTTCAGCCAGGGAGAGAAGCCAGTGGGAGCAGGGAGCTCAGCCAGTGCCCAGTGCTTGCCCTTGTGAGGCAGGCACTAATAGGTGACCCTTCTCTGTTGTCATTTAATGTCCTTATTCCTGCGTTTGGATGGGAGAGAGTTTCCATAAGCTGCGGTCCCTCGTCCCGATCTCCCTCTGTTCATAAGCTTCTGTTCCTTACACTCTGCACCTTATTCCTCCCCGTCACCGCCTTCCCAGCATGGTTGCACTGGGAAGAGGCCTGTGCCCGCCGGTCACCGGCGGAGGGTGCCACACCCCTCCGACCTCAGAGGCCCATGGCGTTGGGACAGAGGGCTGGGGACATTTTAATCATCAATAAACGAAGCACTTTATTCTGTACAGGTGTGGGCAGGCCCAAGGCACCCTGCTGATTCTGCTCTCCTCTGGGCTAGGAAGGTCTGAGTGGTCAGGTTCCCCGGTGTAGGCACCATTCCCCAGCCTGGAGAGTCGGGCTGCAAGCCTAGCCTCAGGTCCCTCTGTGTCCTTGGGGCAGACAGGTAGGGACCCGTCTGAGAAAGGAAGGTTTCCTGTCCGGATGAAGTCTCCGGCCTCACTGCCCAAGGTCGGGGCTTCCAGCTCCTTTAGTTTAGCTGTTCTTCCCTTTGATCTCTGGGCTTCCACGATGTCCTCAGGGACCCCTTCCCTGCCCCTCACTATTTCTAACCTTTGGCCCCAGTGCCTAGCAGCTCTGCGGAGCTGGCTCACATTTTTTCAAAGAAAAAAAGCTGACCACGTCAAGGGGTCCCTACCCTTCTTGTCAGTTCCTGGCCTTGTGACCTTCATGGGGTTAGGACCCAGGTCTGTCTGTCCATTCTTCAGGAAGCAGCAATCTGAAGGGAAGGGATTGGGAATAAAGCCCTGTCCCAGGAGTTGGGTTTCCCACACCCTTTCCCCTTCCCCAGGGGCCAGACAGGTCCTGGGTACTGAGTGATGGTTGCCGTGCGGAAGGTGGGCACAGTCCTCTGTCCCCGAGGCTGATGTATGCCTGGTGCTACACACATCACCCTACCCATGTAGAGTTCCCTGTGCTTCTTGATGCCGTAGAATTAGGGTTCATGTCTAGCCAGCTTCTACACTTCTAAAAAGATGGCCAAGTCACTGAACATTGGCATGAAGGAACCGGAGCAGGGTGGGAACTTCCCAGGCCCACCCAAGAGACAACCTTGGGGCCATCACTTCTGGGAAGATTTGCTGGGTCTCTTGCCCAGCTGGACTTGGTAGGTCTAGTCCTGGGCCTGCTTCTCTGAAGTGATACAAGACACTCTGGTCTTGGAGCAGTTGATAGGGCATCTCCATGGAGACCTGGTGTGGTCTGAACCCAGGGATGACCACCTCCATGTCCCCTCACAGGTCTAGGTGGTGGCAAGAAGGCTAGACAGGTGTGTGGAGCTCTGAAGTCTGGTTATATATGACACCTCATGGTCCCAGGGTGAGGACAGTAGGCATTCAAGGGGGATCGATGGGGAATAAACTCAGTACCGCTCCTGGCCTTTGGCCCAGCCTCTTCTTTATGTGTTGCTGCCTGAGTGGGCATTGCAGGTGTCCCAACATCTCAGCACACAGCCCCGTGGGCATTTAGGGCACTCACAAGGGCCCCACCATTACCATTCAAGGCTTGGATGAAATGGGTCCCCACTGCATCTGGGATTTGGGTCACATACAGAAAGGCCCCAAAGACCTGAAGTTCTGGTATCTGATGTGGTGACCCCAAGGCAGTACCCATGAGACTCTGGGGCCACAGTCCTGGAGTCAGCAGGGCCTGCCATCTCATTCACCAGCTCAGCCCTCTGGCACATTGAAAGCTGGGGACCTCACAGGTATTCCCTGTCACTCACGCTCTTTGGTGGAATCCTGGACTCTGGAGACGTGGGTCTCCACAGCTGTGATCTGTCACCCTGCCCTCGGGCGCAGAGTGCTTCAGACAGACCTGGAGGCCTGGTAGGGAGGCTGTAGGTGAGTGTCTCCTGCTTCAAGACACAATCTAGATGCGGTAGAGTGTGCCTGTAACACACACCACTGGGGGGCAGAAACAAGAGGGCTAGGAGTTCAAAGCCAGCCTGCCCTGTCTCAGAAAACCCTAAGACTTGAAACAAGCCGTGACGTGAAGTTTGGTCTTGAGATTTAGTTGTTCACACTTCCCTTTTATGTGTTTTGTTCTTGGAGCTGAGGGCACATTCCCCTATCCAAAATACCTAAGCCGTTCTCCTGCCTCCCCACAATGCTTACAACCCCAGGTTGACATTACTGACCCACACTCATTTGTTTTATCCAAGAGTCAAATCTAGTCTCAGGATTGCCAGGGCACTCTCTCTGCTCCGCCTCCCTCACTGTGTATACATAAGTATGTTTAGTGATGATAAAACACATGGGAGTTGTGTGCACGTGTGTTTGTTCATGTGTGTGCGTGAATGCTGGTGCGAGCATGTCACAATGCACCTGAGAAGGTCAGAGGGCAGTCTCGGGTGTCAATCGTTACCTCCTACCTTGTTTGGGACAAACCTTATTTTTCTGATGCAGATGCCAGGCTAGATGCCCCTCTGGAGATCCCCCTCCCATTTCCTGGTAAGCATGTGGATTACAGATACTTAACACTACTGCATCTGGCTTTGGCATGGATCTGAACACAGTTCATCAGCCTTTTGTGGCAGGTGATTTACCCGCTGTGCTGCCTCCCCAAGTGTTGTATCATAACCACTGTCAAGGATTTACAGATGGGCGTCATCAAACGCACACTGTCTGCAGCCTCACCACTACCACCTCCAGAACTTTTCAACTTCCCAAACTGAAATGCTTAGTCTCTAAACACAAATTTCACATCCTTTTGATCCATCTCCAGAGCGCTGGCAACCACCTTTCCATGTACCGCCTCTGAGAACTAACTCACACAGGGCAACAAGAATGCCAACTTTATTGTGCTCCAGGGAAGCTTATATAGGGGACCTTAACTGATAGCCATGCCCCAGCCCTTGGGATCTTTCAGCTGCAAAACTCACCAGAATTCACTCCCCTGCCATCAGAAACGCATGAGGGTCTCGTGCTCAGAGCAGCTGCAAACACAGGAAAACAAGTTGTTTCGCTCAGTTCGCTCCAGCAGGCAAAAGGTCTGAGGCAGGCAAAAAAATTCAAGGGGCCAGGGGTCTGTAGCCCCCTACAGGGTCACACAGTATTTATCTCAAGGTTGGCGTATTTCGTTTATCATAATATCTTCAAGGTTCATCCATGTTATAACAGATGTCTGTCAGGATCCCTTTTAAACAGTAAACAAAATTACATTGTATATTTTGGGATTATTTTTTTTACATTTTATTTATTTGAGGTCTGTGTGTATGTGCGTGTGTGTGTGCATGTGCACGTGTGACTGAATATACATGCTACAGGGCACAGATGGCATCAGAGAACAGTTTGCAGGAACTAGTTCTCACCCTCTTCCATGTCAGCTCTCGGGATGAAGCTCAGGTCATCCAGACCTGGCAGGAAGCTCCTTTACCCGTTAATCCATCTCACCATCCCTGGTTTGGGGTGGGATCATGCCATGACATACGTGTAGGCCAGAGGACAACTTAAGAAAGTCAGTTCTCTCCTTCGCCATGTGGGGCCCACGGATCACACTTAGGTCTCAGGCTTCATGGAAAGCACCTCCATCTTCCGGGCGTGTTGCTGACCTCTATTTCGGGGCTTTTAAAAAGTTGATCCTGGGTTGGAGAGGTGACTCAGCAGTTAAGAGCACTCGCTGCTCTTTCAGAGGTCTGGAGTTCAAGTTCCAGCAACCACATGGTGCTCACACCATCTCTAGTGGGATCCACTGTCCTCTGCTGACGAGCAGAGGGACATGCAGCCAGCACTCATACATTAATACGTTAAACAAGCAGAAAGAGTTGACGCTCTGGGATCGTTTTCCAGACAGATCACTGGTATAGAATCCATGATTGACAGGTTTTTGAGCCTTAAGAAAAAAAGATGTGTCACTTCCTGTGGTTTCCATAACTTCTGATGGGAATACACGGTCATTCAAATGGCTGCCCTTCACCCTTCATAGATAATAAATACATGGCTTCACATATATATTTGTCTTTATCTTTTTGGTTTTAAAAAAAATTCACTACAGGGGCTGGAGAGATGGCTCAGTGGTTAAGAGCATTGCCTGCTCTTCCAAAGGTCCTGAGTTCAATTCCCGGCAACCACATGGTAGCTCACAACCATCTGTAATGAGGTCTGGTGCCCTCTTCTGGCTGCAGACATGCACACAGACAGAATATTGTATGCATAGTAAATAAATAAATAAAATATTTAAAAAAATAAAATAAAAAATTTCACTACGATGTATTTAAGCACAAATTTCTCTGCATCTATCCTGTTTGCAGTTGCTGAACTTCTTAATTCTGTTGGTTTGGGTCTTAATTTTTTTTTTACTTTTTAATTTACTGATGTGTGTATGTTGGGGGGGGATATGGTGTGTGTGGAGGGTGTAGTGTGTGTCTGGTATGGTGTGTGTGTGTATGATGTGGTTGTGGGGGAGGGCGTGTGGTGTGTGTGATGTGGTGTGTGTGGTATGGTGTGGGATGTGTGTCTGGTATGATGTTTGTGAGTGTGTGATATGGTGGTTGTGTGTGTGGTGGGGGAGTATGGTGTGTGTGGCGTGTGTATGTGTGCTATGGTGTGGAGTGTCCACTGTGTGTATGTGGTACTCCGTTGTCTTTCCACCGTGTTGGTTCCAGGGATCAAACTCTGGTCCTAAGACACTTGTGCCCTTGAGCCATCTTGCCTTTCCTGGTCTGTCTTAGCTAAATTCGGGGATTTTCAGCCATTGTTACTGGATTTACCATTTGACCTGTCTCCCTCCCTCCCTCCCTTCCTCCCTCCCTCCCCCC